ATCTGGATGAACTTGCTCGGCCAATGCAGGGATCGAACACCCGACCTCAATGGCGTTAGCTCTATTCTTGGGAACATTAAAACAAACAAAAATGGGTCTAAAAGCACAAATTAATGTAATATGAATGTATATAAAGTGATTTATAGTCAAATTTTAAAATACCTTACTGTAATTACGTTCGGTGAAATACGTATACAGTCCAAAGACAGTCGTTTACGCCTGCTTATTAAATTTTTATTATTATTTTGACGTTTGTGAACAAGTCATAACTTATAACTTCCATATTTTCTTTTGGGGTATTTTTTCTTTGTTCATTACAAATGGGGCCCGAAACCATAGCACACTGTATAGCGTATGCCCGTCTTCATTAGCCCAGGTTAGGAGCAGAATAGTAGGACGTTAAACCCCATTTCATTTCATGTCTTATTGGATATCAGGATTCCATATTTTCACGGCAAGATAACGACATCAATATTTATGGAAATAAAACATTATTGAATTTTAATTCCAAATATTATGGAAAGAAAACAACATCAATATTGATTGAAATTGGCAAATATTGAATTCTGAATCGTGTTTGTAATTTCGAATGTTATGGAAAAAATTGAGTTAGATGTTTAGCTCCTATAGTGAGTTGTGACGCTTCGTTGACACATTATTCAGGTCATTTCGACATTCTTCGTCGGTCATTGAAAATCGTTAATATAATAATAATAATAATAATTTATAATTTAATACATTTATAAAGCGCACACGTTCCAGCTAGTATAGCTGCTCAGTGGCGCTGGTTTTACATCAAGATAAATACTTTAAAAATACATTTTAAATTTGAGATATATTAAATTTATAATATTCTTCCGGGATTGTTCTTCTACTTTACTATATTCAGTATTGTATAATATTTAACCTTACTATATTCAGTATTGTATAATATTTAACCTTACTATATTCAGTATTGTATAATATTTAACCTTATTCTATTCAGTATTGTATAATATCTAACCTTATTATATTCAGTATTGTATAATATCTAACCTTATTCTATTCAATATTGTATAATATCTAACCTTACTATATTCAGTATTGTATAATATTTAACCATACTATATTCAGTATTGTATAATATTTAACCTTATTATATTCAGTATTGTATAATATCTAACCTTATTATATTCAGTATTGTATAATATCTAACCTTATTATATTCAGTATTGTATAATATCTAACCTTATTCTATTCAATATTGTATAATATCTAACCTTACTATATTCAGTATTGTATAATATTTAACCTTATTCTATTCAGTATTGTATAATATCTAACCTTACTATATTCAGTATTGTATAATATTTAACCTTATTATATTCAGTATTGTATAATATCTAACCTTATTATATTCAGTATTGTATAATATCTAACCTTATTATATTCAGTATTGTATAATATCTAACCTTACTATATTCAGTATTGTATAATATTTAACCTTATTATATTCAGTATTGTATAATATCTAACCTTATTATATTCAGTATTGTATAATATTTAACCTTATTATATTCAGTATTGTATAATATCTAACCTTATTATATTCAGTATTGTATAATATCTAACCTTACTATATTCAGTATTGTATAATATCTAACCTTATTATATTCAGTATTGTATAATATCTAACCTTACTATATTCAGTATTGTATAATATTTAACCTTGCTCTATTCTTTAAAACACCAAACTGATCAGCAGCAAATATTCGCTTGGCTGCTACTATCACATATTAACATAAAAATAATTGAAATGAAACGGGGTTTAACGTCCTATCGTGCTGCTCCGACTGGGCGAATGAAGAAATAAAAAATTAAATGTAGTGGAAGATCTGGATAAAAAAAAATATATTTCCTATTTAGTGTTAATGGGTACATAAAATAGTATTCGAAGGCGTAAAATTAGTTAGAGGCGTCAGTTCTGTCCGAACAAATTGGTTACTACGTCCGATGTTTACAATGTCGTCGCTGTATGGTGTGGCGTCATACGTAGACATATAGTACACGTGCAATTAAAGGTCAATCATCTTGCACAGAGTTAAAAGAAGGCTTTCGCATTTCCTCTGTTAAAGAGATTGATTAAACATGTGAAATATCAAATTTCAGTTGCAAAGGTGTCTGTTATATAGTCGTATTTTGTCGTCACATTTGTCCGTCCACCGAGCCATTTTGAAATACGCCTTGAATATTATGCCATAATACGTACCAAAACTACTGGGTTTATAGTTTTGTGGATTTTGAGAGATAAAAAGAATAACACACACACACGCACACTCACACGCCAATTTTCTCTACTTTATCATAAAATCTCGTCTCCAACTCTAAAACTACTTAAAGTTATTTACTGATAGAATCATAACAACTTCTTCGCCGTTTATTTGTTTGTGATTTCTTCACCTTTTCACCGCCATGACACATGTTCAAACAGTAAGTAGTAGGTGTTAATTGTTCATTTTATCTCAAGACGTTGAAGAGTTCGAGTTGTTCTGGTGAAGTGGGCTATATATAGCAACTGGTATACAAACACGTGCTAGTTAAAATATCCGGTGGGAGTGGGTCTAACTCGTGCGCTTTTAATCATAAAGTTGACTAAGCGGAGGGCCTGGGACAATGTATAGTCCCTAGTACACATTGGCCTTCAAGTAAGAGATCCCTTGTCAGTTGGAATTAGATATAAGAGGAGGACGTAGCATCGATGTCCGAGCACAATTTCTCTCGTAGCACACTGCATGACGTATACCCGTCTTCATTAGCCCAGTAGGAGCAGAACAGTAGAGCGATAAACCCCATTTCATTTTATATTGATAAACCAACTAGACCAAAAAATCAGTTTATAATTTTTAACAGATTGACTTTGTTTTTACTTCTTTTTGACCCTATGACGTCAGATATTGATTAATCAATCAGCGTTAACGTTTCTAATAGTTTACCCACAGTTCCGTGCATCGCACGTCAAGAAGTCGCCGTAACAGATGGTTTCATTGACCAATCCCTCACACCAACCAGAACGCAGGTTATATAACAACTCTTCCAGATCCTAGTGTAGTACAGACAACGAAAACAAAATTTTGAACTATAAAAAAAGACACGAAATAGGATCTGTGTTTTAATCAGAATGTTTATAACCTATCCTAACCTACATTCGTTGCTAATAAAGGTGGATATTTATTATTGTATTTTACAATTTTGTCGACAATTTGAAACACTTAAAACTAACCTTGGGCCTACTAGCAAGTTCAATCAAACCAATCTAGCCTTGTCCCATCATATGTTTTGAAAGAAAGTTTAAGCATCTTCAGTATGGAACATTTTACAAAATAGCTTACGATTCGCATCAAGTCATAGATTCTACTTGTAAACTTTACAGTTTTTTGAACACTCAAGTTTGAAAGTTGACATTATGAGTTATAGAGTTATTCGAATGTTATGTTCAAGTTTGTAAGTTGACATTATGAGTTATGGGAGTTATTCAAATGTTATGTTCAAGTTTGAAAGTTGACATTATAAGTTATTCGAATGTTATGTCCAAGTTTGTAAGTTGACATTATGAGTTATTCGAATGTTATGTCCAAGTTTGTAAGTTGACATTATGAGTTATTCGAATGTTATGTCCAAGTTTGTAAGTTGACATTATGAGTTATGCCGTTATGTAAATGCTGTTTGAAAAAAGACATTATCAGTTGTAACATTAATTATTAATATAACTTCCCTTCCGGCATATCCCTTAATTTCTTCAAAACTCTTACGAAAGGTCGTTATTTCAGCACCATTATAATATATGAATTATAATCAATATTCAAATGTACCAATCTATGACGTCATTATGCACGTAATATCTGTCACTGTAGTCCTGACCGATGACGTCATTATGCACGTAATGTCTGTCACTGTAGTCCTGGCCGATGACGTCATTATGCACGTAATATCTGTCACTGTAGTCCTGACCGATGATTATAGGGTCAAAATCCGCACGTATGACCTCTGACGCGACCTTCCACTACAACCGGTCAGATCTTCATGTAGTGTAGGCCATCGAAAGTATAAATAAAAAAAACGAAACGAAATATAGATCCGTATTTTAATCAGAATGTCTCCAGGACTGCAGTGACTGAAATCACGTGCATAATGAATGACGCCATCAGCGTTGAGGTTTCTAGTGGGTTACCCACAGTTCCGTGCACCTCACGCCAAAAAACTCGCCGTAACAAACCGTTTCATTGGTTAAATCCCTAACATCATCCAGAACGCGTGTTATATAACAACTTTTCCAGATGCTAGTAGTAAAGACAAATAAAACGAAATTTTGAACTATAAAATACGAAACGAAATAGGATCTGTGTTTTAATCATATTGTCCCGAAGACAGCCTACCAAATGGAAACATGCAAAAACAGACACGTTTGGTTGTTTCATCAGAATTAATTATGTAACCTTTGTTAGAAACACGGGTCAACATTTCCTAAATTTGAAACTAATAGTCAATAACTAACTGTTTATGGAATCTATAATTATAAACAACTAGACTCTGTAACCCAGCCGCATGTATAATTGTATGACAATTTGATTGTCATACAGATCTTTATTTCGTTTCGTTTTTTTATACTTTCTATGGCCTACACTACAAGAAGATCTGACCGGTTGTAGTGGAAGGTCGTACCAGTTGTCGTACGAGCGACTTTTGCCCCTATGACGTGAGACGTAGATTAATCAATCAGCGTTGACGTTTCTAGTGCATGGCAAGCCAAGAAGTCGCCGTACCAGACCGTTTCATTGGCTAATACGTCACTTCAACCAAAACGCTGGTAATATAACAACTCATCCAAGCGTAGTAAAGACAAGTAAAACGAAATTTTGAACTATAAAAAACGAAACGAAATAGAATGTGTGTTTTAATCAGATTGCATTATATGAACGATTGAAATTATTAAATTCTAATTACTTGGTACTTCTTTATTTCAGTTTCGTTATTGGTTTGAAAATTTAACGTCTTTAGATCAACATTTATTATATAATCCTTTACTCAGCATCCCAGCTCATGGCTGGATACCCCATCAAGCTACAGGTAATATATGTTATAATATACCCCATCAACCTACAGGTAATATATATATCGTCCGTCTATACTCTACAATAATTACAGGTGTTTGTTACCACGTGGTCCGTCCAGAGCCGGGGGAGGGGGCGGGGTGGGGAGTTGCATGGTCGAATGGTTAGCACGTGCGCGCTGTATCATAAGGTCTATCATTGAGTCAACCGGCGTGGTTTCGATTCCCCAGTTGTACGTGACAAGGAGTAGGGTCGCCTGTCCAACGTCGTGGGTTTTCTCCGGGTCCTCCGGTTTCCTCCCACTGCTTAAGACCCCTACGCGCCAGCGATTTATTGAAATAAAATTGAACCATTTGAAAGTCCCTCTCTCTCTCCCTCTCTCTCTCTCTCTCTCTCTCTCTCTCGCTCTCTTACAGTGGTCGATTGTTACTATACAGCTCTGTTTAAACAAAATGTATAATAAGATATACGCTATAATAGACCTTTAAAATAAACTCCCCAGAATGTATCAGTCATAAATTCTAATCAAAACCAAACAGGATCAAAGAAATTCTCAGTGTGTCTCTATTTATTTTAAATTTCTCTTAAAACATGTTTCTGTTTCCAAGCCTTTCAACGAATAATTTTAGAAAACTTAGAATTAGCAGATATGATTAAGTTTGTTGATGACTGAAGTCTACTGGTTCTTGTTAAAAAAGATGGAGATCGCTGAGCAAACTATTAAACTTTAAAACGTTCATCTGATACCGGCTTGATTTATTGAAGCGGGGGTCGCAATTCGTGTCTAAAATTAGTTAAAACGTAAAGTTTGATTGGATTTCAAGCCTCATGTCAGCCATGTCAAACACCTTCTTGAGATTGGAACGTGAAAGCGAATTAACAAATTTCTCTAAAAACCTGTAACTTGTCTTTCACTATCGGCGGGAAGATGAAAAGGTGATGACGTAGATAGACCACGTGTTGTTGAAAGGTGAAAGGTCACGAGGTGTGTTTGATTGGGTGGAATTGATGGTGAAAACAATTTAAGTGTTTGTCAGACAATTGACATAAATAAGGTGCGATGTACGTGTATTTAAAACAATATTATCTTGTCTAGACAGCATTGAAGGGGGGATTTTTTAAAAGTTAAGTAAATGTTTGGGCAACACGTGGCTACTAAAACCAGTGACGGTTTGATAACACGCGATACAGTTATATTTCTTTAAGCAGTTTTAACACAAGTTAATCGTTTTTCAATAAATAACCTCCACGCTACAGATTCAATCAGTTTTAAAACAAGAGTAGATAACCCAAGTTTATTTTATTATCTTTCCAAACAATTTAACAAACTTAATGCAATTTAACACTTTAACATAACACGAGCACTTTCATTTAAAGTCGATGTGCGTCATTTGTATTTTTTCCGACCATATCTAATATTTGACGCCAAATGAGAGAGAGAGAAAGAGAGAGAGATGTGTTTAACGTACACTCGACACAAACTAGGTCATTTCGGGACTAACATATGGTTTAATTTTATTTCAATAATTCGTTTCCGCGTAGGGGACTTTAGCAGTGGGAGGAAACCGGAGGGCCCGGAGAAAACCCACGAAGCTGGACAGGCGACCTTACTCCTTGTCACGTACAACCGGGGAATCGAAATCACGCCAGTTGACTCAATGACAGGTCTTATGATACAGCGCGCACGTGCTAACCATTCGGCCATCCAACCCCCCGACGCCAAATAACTCAATGACAGACCATAACGTGCATGCATTAAATCATTTGGCCACCCAACCCCCTGTGTAGATAATAAGCAGAATGAAACACATTGCGGACTGATGTTCCATTTAGAGATTCAACTAATATTCCATTTAGGGGTTCGACTGATATTCCATTTAGAGATTGAACTGATATTCCATTCAGAGATTCAACTAATATTCCATTTAGGGATTCAACTGATATTCCATTTAGAGATTCAACTAATATTCCATTTAGATATTCAACTGATATTCCATTTAGAGATTCAACTGATATTCCATTTAGGGATTCAACTGATATTCCATTTAGAGATTCAACTAATATTCTATTAAGAGATTCAACTAATATTCCATTTAGGGATTCAACTGATATTCCATTTAGGGGTTCGGGTGATATTCCATTTAGGGATTCGATTGATATTCCATATAGGAATTCGATTTACACAATATTGTAGTTTGCAGGAGATTAAACCACCCCAAACGACCATTAGCGACTTTAAATATTTATTGTTTACATTGTTTACATTGTTTACATTGTTTATATTATCCTTATAAGACATATAAAATAGATTTCACTAAAAATAAACACACTTATACTACTTCTGAATTTTATTAACATGCTACGTTTCAATACAAATGAAATGAAATGAAATGGGGTTTAACGTCCTACTGTTCTGCTCCTAACCTGGGCTAATGAAGACGGGCATACGCCATACAGTGTGCTATGAGGGAAATTTTGCCCGGGCAGCGGCACTACGGCCTACTCTTATATCGAATTCCAACTGCCAAGGGATCTTTTACGTGCACGCCAATGTGTACACGGGACCTCGGTTTTTCGTCCCATCCGAACGACTAGACAGCTTTCCTTGTCAGCCCCTCCGTGCTGCATCACTGACAAGGGAGAACCACGCCGGAAAATCTGGATGAACTTTCTCGGCCAATGCAGGGATCGAACACCCGACCTCCAGGCTAGCGAGCTAGCGTCTTACCCACTTAGCCACGTGATCCCCACGTTTCAATACATATACAGGTATCGTTATCAAGCAAATAATGATTAATAACAAAAACGTGGTGCAATATATAGATGAACACTTTGGAAGCCCTTTAGCAGATAAAACAATAACAACAAATTGATTAACAAGATGAAAAATAAAATTCAGAAGTAGTATATATCCATACAAGTGTGTTTATTTTTATTGTTTACATTGTTTATTTATTGTTTACATTGTTTATTTATTGTTTACATTGTTTATTCATTCTTTACATTGTTTATTTATTGTTTACATTATTTATTTATTGTTTACATTGTCTATTTATTGTTTACATTATTTATTGTTTACATTATTTATTGTTTACATTTTTTAAATTTATTGTTTAAAAATCCCACGGATGAAGGTTAGAAACTTTAAGTGTCATGTTGATTAAATATGACGTCATACTCTATTTTGCACAGTTGTTACCCTTACTACTACTTCCGGTGAGATATAGCCAGTTTGACTTTCAACAGTCGACGACGGGTTAGATTAAAAGAGAAACGGAAACCAATTTATGGGAGAAATGATTATAGTATTTCCTAATTTTTGTTTTATTTTCCAGTCTTTCAAATGTCAATACCATGTACAGGTAAAGACGAGGGTGTAGCTTCGATTGTACTAGGTTTACATATATATGCTACTTCAGGGCACGCAGTCCAAAATACACCAATTACCTTTAAGTTGAAGAAACGTTGTACAGCCTTTGGTAAGTTTGGGTTGATTTTATTGTAATCTGTAACACAAGGTTTTCTTGTTGTCTCTATAGCCACTTCCGGTTAGTGTGTCCGGTTCTTTTCACTGCATTGGTCCCCGGGGGAGGGGGCGAATGGTTAACGTGTGCGCGTTGGAGCAGACGGTATATCATTGGGTCAAATTTGCGTGGTTTCGATTCCCCGCATGTACGTGATAAGGAGTAGGATTGAGAGAGAGAGAGAGAGAGAAAAAAAACCCCACGAGTTTAGACAACAGGAGAATCGAAACCACGCCAAACGCGCACGCGTTAACCATTCGGCCATACACCACACATACATCCTCCCCGGAGTTGGTGAAGCTTACAATGTTGACAAACGTTACGTAGATTAACGTAAACAATATTTCATTCACGAGATACCAAAACATGTCAATGGCTTATAAATATATGCTTCTTTAATTGCATGTTGTTGCATTTTGTAGATTATACAGTTAGAATTCCAGGTTGAATAGAGGGACACACCGCTGTACGGGCAAAATCCCCCCACCTTGTTCACATAATAATAGGAATACAAATTACCACGTATTAGTGTCCGAAATATGTTGACGAGACGCCAAACATTATTCCATTTATTGAAATTTAACATGTGTGTCGTTATTGATAGAACACCCCACTGTACACCCCACCATTGGCAGGATACACCACTGTACACCCCACCAATGGCAGGATACCCCACTGTACACCCCCATATTGGTAGGATACCCCATTGTACACCCCAATATTGACAGGACACCCCACTGTACATCCAACCATTGGCAGGACACCCACTGTACATCCAACCATTGGCAAGACACCACTCTACACCCCACTGTACACCCAAATAATGATAGAACACCCCACTGTACACCTCATATTGATAGGACATCACTCTACACCCCATATTGATAGAACACCCAACTGTACACCCCCAATATCGAGATGACACAACACACTGTACACCCCACTTTACAACCACATATTGATAGAACACACAACTGTACACCCCCAAGATGACACAACACACTGTACGTCCCCCCCCCCTCTCCCCCACACACGACCAATCTACTATACTATAACCCAATATATTTATTCCTGTAACATTTTGTATATATCCCGTCTCAGTAACAGTTTGACGTTAATATATACAAACAGTGTTTTCAATCAAACAGGTTTACTTGTAGTCTAAACCATTCGACATTCATTACATTCCTTAACACTACTCAATGAAACACGACAGGTGAATTTAACCCATGTAGCTCCAATGGTATTTGGATGTTTATTGTATTGTGACTAGTTGGGATGGTTTCTACTGTAACTAGAAATATCACAATACTTGAAAACATAGTCATCACGTGTTCGCATCTCATTTAACTGGCATCTTACTTCAAGCTAATATAAAAGATATTATTCATGCTAAAGATACATTAGGTACAGTTTTATGGATACACAATTACTGAGTTTAATACTAAACACTCGTCTTTACCAGACAAATGATACAGATATGTGAATAGGAGACAAATATATACAGAATATGCAACAAAATAACAATCAAATACAATTAATGGCACTATGTCTGCATCGCATTAAACATCCCTGTTTTGTCCTATATTCGTGGGGGGTTGGATGGCCAAATGGTTAGTACGCGCGCGCTGTATCATAAGGTCTGTCATTGAGTCAACTGACGTGGTTTCGAATCCCCGGTTGTACGTGACAAGGAGTAGGGTCGCCTGTCCAACCTCGTGGGTTTTCTCCGGGTCCTCCGTTTTCCTCCCACTGCTAAAGACCCCTACGCGCAAGCGAATTATTGAAATAAATCAAAAAAATTAAACCATATGTTAGTCCCGAAATGACCTAGTTTGTGTCGAGTGGGCGTTAAACCCCATTTCTCTCTCTCGTTTGGTATGTCTGTCCCCACTCGCACTCATCTCATTCTGCACTTGTCATAAAACGTTTCGTCCCGTCTTTTACTGTCTTCTGTACATACATATAAATATACTATTAAAAAAAAGTAGGGGATATTTGATTTTTAAGTGTTATTAAAGTCACCTAATGAAACTGACGAAGAAACAAATGACAAAATGAAATGAAGTTCACATTCATCGATTTATTCCAAATGATCGTTAGACTAAGTAAGGCACAGACTGACCATTATAAGGGTAAAATGATACCCGGGGTCAAACAGCAAAGTTACCACAGCATCACAACCAAGTCAGTAACGGGTAAATCCCCCTCTGTTTGCCAAACAAGCATTGATCCGACGTGGCATACTCCTAATGAGACGTCTAAGGTCATTTTGGTCCAGATTGTCCCATTCCTGTTGCAACACAGCAGCAAGTTCTTGGACATTGGCAGGACGTTGTTGACGTTGACGTAACCTCTGTCCAAGCATGTCCGAGACATGCTCGATAAGGGAGAGGTCGGGACTCAGTGCTGGCCAAGGTAATGTGGTGATGTTCTGTTGTTGGAGGTAACCTGTAACGATCCTGGCCCTGTGACATCTTGCGTTGTCATCCTGGAAGATGAAACGGCGGCCATGACGTCGTGCGAACGGCACAACATGGACTGCCAAGATGTTGTCCCGGTAGTACTGGCCTGTAACACGCCCTGCAACAACATGTAAAGCCGTTTTTCCAGCAACAGTGATGCCTCCCCACACCATAACAGAACCACCCCCAAATCGATCATGTCTGATGACGTTAACGTCTTGGAAGCGCTCGTTTCGACGACGCCACACCCTCCTACGTCTGTCCAAAAAATCAACAGTGAACCTTGACTCATCTGAAAACATCACATTGCTCCAGCGTCGATTATCCCAGTGTTGACGATCCCTACACCAACGACGTCTTGCCTGAATGTGATGATCTCTCAAACAAGGGATCACGCGAGGACGTCGGGCGCGAAGGTGACCCCTATGCAGTCGATTCCGAATCGTCTGGCCACTCACTCTCACACCAGTGTCTGTTTGAAGACGAGCGCTGATCTGATTTGCTGTGATGACACGATTTCTCAAGGCCAAGGTACGGATAAATCGATCCTGGGCTTGAGTTGTCGCCCTTGGTCGACCTGAGCGTGGTCTGTCCTGTACAGATTGTGTATCACGGTATCTGGACCATAGCCTGCTTATGACAGACTGAGAAACATTCATCGTCCGCGCCACAACCGCCTGTGTTGTGCCGATCTGTAGCATGCCAAGGTCACTAAAACAATTAAACTGATGTTTCCACCCTGGAATTCAATGCCACAATGACTGTAACATTCAAAGTCAGAGTCGTGCAAATCTTGGGTTGGACCCCCATGATGATCCCAAGCATCACCTGCATTCCATGCGGTAGCTATTGGTGCGTTTGGGCGTCACATGTATCTGGAAATGTTTCTTCTGTTAGGTTCTATAGTGACTTTTTTCGTAGTCATTTGCATATTTTAGTATTATGCCCCCAAAATCAAATATCCCCTACTTTTTTTTGAATAGTATATCTAATAATTCTTTAATCCCCTTTTTCACTAATCACATTGTAAAATATTGCACCATGTATACATAACATGTTATTGTCTGCGATATCACCTCGGTGGAAGCGGACGTAAAATACAACTAACTCACACACATCGCATTATAAAGATACATAATGTAAGATTTAGATAAAGAGCTGACCATTCTTACTATAATAGTTCGAAAATAGATAATGTAAAATGAAAATATTGAAAATTTCATTTTAATTACTTTATTCTGAGCCAAGTTATCACTGTTTGTAACTTTGACAAGATGTGTGCATTGTGGTAACTAGAGCGCCGGTATATTCGAGACTTCGCCTCGCTTTCCAATTTTTAAATGGCCAACCATTCTAATCTAGTTAAAATCTCGAGTATCCGATGCCATCGAGGGTTGATTATGGTCTTGTTTTGTTAATAAATGTCTAATTAATAATTTCTATAACATTTCAGACCTAAAGAAAGGCCTGCAATAGGCAGATTTAGCTCTTACATAATATATGTTTAATAGAACACAGTTTTTAGGGGATACGATTCACGTCATTGTGCTTGATATGGATAACGTCGTGCTTTCAGAATAAACCTATAGATTGTATCCCATAAAAACTGTGTTCTGTTAATGTGTTTACCGATCGCTAAATGCCACACAAAGATATGTTATTCATATTATTTCGGATCAGGGGATGAGAAAATATTCCAAATATGAATTCATTGAATTAATTAAGTTTTAAAGATGGATTACGTCACACTGATCCGCAGTGAATATTCGCTAGGCCGCTATAATCACTGATAAGGATGACATCGATGCGACTTAATGAGCCACAAATATTAACTTTTTTCCACAGATAAATTAAATTCTAAAACATTTTTTTTTTATGTATTAGAAAAATAAATAAAGACGTTTGACGTATTTGTAGATAAGAATTATTACATATGGGTATTAAAATGAGTAAAAGGCGCCATTCTGCTCGAATCAGTAACGTCTTATGTAAACAATGCACGCGCCATAGGGCCAATGATTGACGCCGCGTGATATGACGGCATGTGTTGAAGGCAGTCATCTTTTACAGAGATATTAGAAGACTTTCAAATACTCTGTGAAACAGATTGGGATTATGTAAGAGCTAAATTTTCCTGTTGCAGGTCTCGTTTCTTTGAGGGGAGTGGAGGGGAGGGAAGGCAGGAGGGAAGCGGGGTGGCCGAATGGTTAGCACGAGCATGCTGTATCATAAGGTCTGTCATTGAGTCAGCTGGCGTGGTTTCGATTCCCCGGTTGTACGTGACAAGGAGTAGGCTCGCCGGTCCAACTTTGTGGGTTTTCTCCGGGTCCTCCGGTTTCCTCTCACTGCTAAAGACCCCTACGCGCAAGCTAATTATTGAAATAAAATTGAACCATGTGTTAGTCCCAAAATGACTTAGTTTGTGTCGAGTGGACGTTACCCCCCCCCCTCTCTCTCTCTCTCCTTGGGGGTGGGGTGTTCTTCAAATCTTATTTTAAATTGTCAATCAATTTCCGGCGGCGACACAGGCCTTATGAAACAGCGCGCACGCGCTAACCATTTGGCCATCCAACCCCCACGCGTTAACGAAACTATCACTTTAAAGTATGTTCTTCTTCATTAACTGGAATTCGTGCGCCGCTTGTTAGAATAATTTACACCAAAGTGATAATATGAGAGAAAAGCCAAAATGCTGGTAAAATATAAAATAAAATATCACCACGCTCTTTAAAAAGTCATTTGTTGGTGAGAACCACGGGGTGTTACTCGTGGAGATATATGGGCGTACATCTCAGTGTGACGTCATAATGAACCTCAACACACCAATATACTTCACTGTCTGTCTTTAACTAAATTCTTACACCACACATAGAAACATCAATTAGCTGAAATTACACGTTAACACAATATTACCGCCATCATAGCTTCAAGATGCATTTGGTAAGAACTAAACTCAGATTGTATAAATATACCTTTCTGTAAAAGACGTGTCATGTAAGAGCTAAATTGGACTATTGCAGGTCTTTCTTGGTTTTTACAAATTATTAATTAGACATTTATTTACCCCAACAAGCCCATAATCAACCCTCTAGATCTTCAGATGGCCGGGATATTTAATGGAATATAACACCACCGAACCATTAAATAATTTAACGTTAAAATAGATAAAATCACGGTTTTCTAGAAGGAATAATACATACCACCCTGTACCGTGTACCACACCCATCACTGCAAGCCGGGAACACAATGTGTTATCTATATAGAATGAGAAGTAGTTAATAGAGGAAGCATATGTGGCCACGTGTACGACATTCGCCACGTTTTACCAAACCGTGGTAAAATCGACCGTAAAACCAATTTGATTAACACCATCCATAAATAATTTTCAGGAAAGATGGCCAATCCTATCGTTATAGTTTTAAATAAAACACGGGGTGATTGATTAAGTGGCTGAATAGCTGGTCAGGGCGTACCGAGTTCGATCCCGGTATTGGTCGAGAAGGTTCCTCGGGATTTCCGACCTGGTTTCCCTTGTCAATGGTGAAATGGTCCCTGAAAGGGAGTGTCTCGTCGTGACAATGGGACGATAAATTGAGGTTCCATATTTATATTATCAGCACGCCCAAGATCCCATGGCAGTTGGAATTCCATGGGGAGTAAGCTGAAACACACCGGTGGTCATAGCACAATATATGGCGTATAGCTGCCAGAACAACATTTCGTTCATAGCTCAACAACATGGCGTACAGATGTCAGAACAACATTTCGTTCATAGCCCAATAACATGACGTATAGCTGTCAAAACAACATTTCGTTCATGGCCCAATAACATGACGTATAGCTGTCAGAACAACACTTCGTTCATAGCCCAATAACATGGCGTATAGCTGTCAGAACAACATTCGTTCATAGCCCAATATATGGCGTATACCTGTCAGAACAACATTCGTTCATAGCCCGATACATGGCGTATTGCTGTCAAAACAACATTTCGTTCATGGCCCAATAACATGGCGTATAGATAGCTGTCAGAACAACATTTCGTTAAAACAACATTTCGTTCATAGCCCAATCTTTATTAACTTGTTTGGTGCATCAAGTAATACATTAAATCCAGACATGGTGTGTGGTGGGAATGGTTTTAATTTAACTGGAGAAAATATAACATTAATCGAGTTGGATGCTCATCTTAATTTCATTCTTCTAGAAATTAACACACAAGCTTTTTGCATGTTATTCTGATATGGTTTTAATTAATTGAGGTTTTTATTCTTCATTATAATTTCTGTTTTCCCTCACTTTTATGATTGCACGATGCAATTTGTTGTGTTCTTCCTATAATAGCTTTCAGTTTGTTTTTATTAATAACATGTCCATGCTTGCTGATTTTGCATCCCATTGGAGGGTTCGCACTGCTCGTGTATATATATATAGCCATTTTGTTTTTAGTCGTTCCGATGGGACGAAAAACCGAGGTCCCGTGTACACATTGGCGTGCACGTAAAAGATCCCTTGGCAGTTGGAATTCGATATAAGAGTAGGCCGTAGTGCCGCTGTCCGGGCAAAATTTCCCTCATAGCACACTGTATGGCGTATGCCCGTCTTCATTAGCCCAGGTTAGGAGCAGAACAGTAGGACGTTAAACTCCATTTCATTTCATTTCATTTTATTTATTTGTGTTATATGCTTGATAACGACTTGTGAAATCTTGTTGAAACGTCGCAGTGAAATAAACCACAGTAATTGTTATCCATAAATAGTGTGTTATTTGATTATGTTCCAATTACTAAATGCCATTTAAAGAATAGAAAACATGTCCAATGGCTTGCGTTTCGATTAATTGGTAATATTGCATTGTGCCATATATTCACATCGTGTGATCCTATTAACCGATCACGTTAACGTTCTGTGCCCGGTATATATACAGGGATGCGGTTTGTGGTGAATTATTGGGAATTTCAGAATGGGTTTGTTTGACACAACTTATAACCCCCTACACTATAGGGGAGGGTGGGGAAGGGGCGTCTTTATTGATAGACAAGTCCTTGACACAACATATCACCCCTACACCCCATGTAGGGTTAGGGGTTAGACTGCACTGTAGTGTAATGAACTTTTCATCTAGCATGTTTTTGTTAACATGGAAAGTTGTATTTCTGTTACGATTTATATTTTTATGTTTTATTTGAAACAACTGTCAACCAACTGTTCTAGTCTGTTTGACACAACTGTCAAACAACTATTTTCTGCATGACATAGACACCCCATTATTTCACACTACGGTTTCACCAGTGGCTTGAAGTGTTTTCAGATTGTTGCCGTTTATCCCTGAGCATTGACATACCCGTGTTTGTTGCGCTTTGTCTAGTCTGGTACTAAGATCTGGCATATTACCATGCTATATGTTTCTTTGAGTTTTTTGTTTCTCGTCATTCCGATCAGTTTTGTGATTATGGATTGTTATAGTCGTCTAATCATCTGGAATCAGTATAGCATTATCCGATATCACTGGATGCTTTACTTGTTTACTGCTTCATTTGCAAGAGCTGAGTGTCGTAAATTATTGTTTCCTGTTAATTTGAATGAATTATTTTCATAGCATGACGTTCTCATTGTGAATTTTAATTTCTCTATCCTAGCATGGCCATCTCATTGTGGCTGACACCTTCTCACCTCTAGCATGACGTTCTCGTTGTGACTGGTAATTTCTCACCTCTAGCATGACGTTCTCTTTGTGACTGGTAATTTCTCTCATCTAGCATGACGTTATCAATGTGACTGGTAATTTCTCTCAACTAGCATGACTTTATTATTTTGTTTAGCAATTTCTCCTAATTATCATGACGTTCTATTTGCGGCTGGCAATTTCTCCCTCCTAGCATGACGGCGTTATTGTGTCTGGAAGTTTATCTCCCTTAGCATGGCGGTGTCATTGTGATTGGTAATTTCTCCATCCTACCATGGCGTTCTAATTGGGGCTGGCAATTCTCTCAACTAGCATGACGGTGTCATTGTGATTGGTAATTTCTCCCGACTAGCATGACGTTCTAATTATGACGGCTTCATTGTGTCCTCAAGTTTATCTTATTTAGGATGACGGTGTCTTGAAGTTTATCTCAACTAGCATGACGGTGTAATTGTGATTGGTAATCCTAGCATGACGTTCTTATTGTTACTGGTAGTTTCTCTCACCCAGCCTGACGATCTCATTGTAGCTGTCAATTCTCTCACCTAGCATGACGATCTCATTGTGGCTGGCAATTCTCTCACCAACCCTGACGATCTCATTGTGGCTGGCAATTCTCCCCCTTAGCATGACGATCTAATTATGTCTTGAAGTTTATCTCACTTCGCATGACGACGTCATTGTGTCTGGAAGTTTATCTCATCTAGCATGACGGTGCCACTGTGACCGGCAATTTATCTCCCCTAGCATGACGGTATCGTTGTGATTGGTAATATCTCCCGACTAGCATGATGATTTTATTGTGGCTGGCAATTTCTCTAACCTAGCATGACGATCTCACTGTGGTTTGTAATTCTTTCTACTAGCATGACGTTGTCATTGTGTCTAGAAGTTTATCTCACCTAGCATGACGGCGTCATTGTGTCTTGAAGTTTATCTCATCTAGCGTGACGTTTTTATTGTGGCTGGCAATTTATCTAACCTAGCATGACGATTTCATGGTTGGCAATTCTCTCACTTATTTTTTGGCCCTGGCATGGGGATGTGATTCATTCCGTTCAAGTGTTTCTTGGATGTTGCATGTAGGATATTTGTATGTGCACGCTATTGGTTTATTCTGTAACTTCTAGTAACGATGATGTGTTTGTATTCTATACAGTTACTACCTCTTTATGTGAGGCTCGATGTGAAAACGGTGGATCATGTGTAAACAGTATATGTTTATGTCGTCAGGGATTCAGTGGGAAAGCTTGTGAAATAGGTATGTTGGTTTTAGATGACGTTGGTGTATCTCTGTTTTGAGTCACATTTAAAATGACTATCTGTTCATTGTGTCTTAAATATTGGATATTTGGATCTATATTTACACGACATGACCACAACATCAATATTGATAGAAATAGACCAATATTGAGTTATAATTCGTGTTTTTAATTTCGAATACTGTATTATGGAAATATTGAGTTGGAGGTTTGGCTCTTTTAAATGTGACAATACTGCTCTGTGGGGTAGTTCACTGGTTCACCATGGATGGCAGGGATTAAAATGTATTGAATCTAAAAAAAAAAAACAACAAAAAAAACACCTCTATAAGTACAAAATATTCCACATATGGGACATAACTCCCGAGGACTCCAATAAAGAACAAAAGGGAGGGAACTCTTCCGTGAAAGATGGCATTACTGCATGACAATACGTTACAAGCTGTTGTAATCTTGACTAGTGTTGATCTAGAGAACGGTAACATGTTGTTATTAGAATATAATGGTGACGGGGACAGAACTGACGATAAAAGCTTCGAACCACACTTAGATTCAGTTCTAAATAGCTAATCCTCAGTTACAATATGCAGAGAATTTTTCAATTTTCAACGGGTTAATCCTTTCTAATATGGGTTAATCCATTCTATTATGGGTGAATCCATTCTAATATGGGTTAATCCTTTCTAATATGGGTAATCCTTTCTAACATGGGTTAATCCTTTCTAATATTGGTTAACCCATTCTAATATTGATGAATCTGTTCTAATATGGATTAATCCATTCTAATGTGGGTTAATCCATTCCCATATGGGTTAATCCATTCTAATATGGATTAATCCATTATAATATGGGTTAATCCATTATGATATGTAGGCGCAACTTGACATCTAATTAAGAAAGCGCAATCAAAATATCAACGGTAGATAATCCCCAGCTTAGATTCAGTCTGATTAAAAAGAGGCCCTTCAAAAATTTTCAGCGAAAATTATAGACGCCACTGCAGTGGATGTCGAATGTTGACATATTTTCAATTACACCATATGAACGGAAGTGAAACCATTCTGGGCTGATATTAAAGGACAATTTCACTAGATAAGAGAAAACGAGAAAAATGGAAATAGTCCGTACATATTCCCTTGTTTTTATTCATTCTATACTTAATAAAAACATGGTAATGTACGGACTTTTCTATTTTTCTGGTTTTCTCTTATCTAGTGACAGTCAATAATTTGTTTTGAATTGTCAGATATCCTCCCACTGTCCCATATAACAATTTTTGGTTTTCGAAGGAATTATTATTGAGCAGACATTCGGCCGTGTATCTGTTATCACTCGTCACTTCAGTTTCTTATATAGAGAGATAACTCTGTTTTCCTTTTGCGTTCGTCACTTCCGATTGTTGAAACCTTCATTACGCATCTATCGTAGCAATGATCTCTGTGCTAAAATTATATTTGGAACATGCTTAACCAAATCTTTCACATATGTGATAATGAATGACACCGATAATGTCCTTTAATTTTAAAGATTCAACATTCACAATATCGTAGTTCGGACGGGATTAAAAATACACACAGAAACGTTAATTGTTGAGAAGAATAATAAGAGTTAGCTATCGGGTAGTTTCTGCCACAGCAGCACTAGTCCAGCAAGCTAATGATTAGGCCTAATATAATATCAAAACTCTGAAGAGACAAGTTTTATCATTCTCTTTATTTAGATAAAAATAAAAGACAATTCTATTTAATAAAAATTTTGTGTAATAATTTCAGCTTTATGTAATCCTCGATGTGAGAACAATGGCACGTGTGTATCACCTAGAATGTGCGCATGTCCAGCAGGGTATAGTGGACACCACTGTGAAAAGGGTGGGTATATTGGTAATCTTATTTAATGTCCGCCATTTTATTTTTAAATTACGGAATTATGTACCTTCACGGCGAATCTGATTATAACACAGATCCTATTTCGTTTCGTTTTTTATAGTTCAAAATTTCGTTTTACGTGTCTTCACAACACTATAGGGTCTGGGAGAGTTTTATATAACCGGCTTCTGGTTGATGTGACGGTTTAGCCAATGAAACGGTCGGTTGCGGCGGTGGGTATTCTACTAAAAACATCAACGCTGATTGGTTAATCAAGTGTATGGCCCCTGACGCAACCTCCCACTACAACAGGTCAGATCTTCATGTAGTAGAGGCCATCGAAAGTATAAAAAAGCGAAATGACATATAGATCTATATTTTAATCAAATTGCTTCACAGCGTCCATAATACTGACGTTATCTATTTTAATTTACTTTAAACTTATACAACGTCACAGCTACGTCATTCATAACAGCGTTACATAAAACAAGAAATATCCATTAGGCCTAGCTAAATGTTTAGGGATTGAATCATTCATTAGGCCTAGCTAAATGTTAACGGATTGAATCATCCAGTAGGCCTGTTTAGGGACTGGATCATCCATTAGGCCTAGCTAAATGTTTAGGGATTGAATCACCCAGTAGGCCTAGCTAAATGTTTAGGGATTGAATCATCCATTAGACCTATCTAAATAACCTGAACCATTTGCCCACCTCTGTATATACCATCCATTATAACCCGACTGAAAATAGCCTCCTAAATTCTACCATCAATTTTTATATACAACTATTTATTTTCCAGTCGTCTGTGGTCGACCATGTCAAAATGGCGGACAATGTTTACCGGAAGGATTCTGTTTCTGTCAGGAAGGTTTCTATGGTGACGCTTGTGAGTTAAGTAAGTAAGACAGCTATTCATTGGCTGATTTCGTATTTGGTTATAATAAATTGTTTCACTGGTATTTAGTAATTTAACTGGAAATACATAGCTCCTCCTTGTTCGTATTACGCCGCTGTTGCAAAAATTCAAGATTCCTAGGCTGTACGTGACAAGGAGTAGGGTCGCCTCTCTCTCTCTCTCTCTCTCTCTCTCTCTCTCTTTCTCTCTCTCTCTCTCTCTGCTTTGTGGGTGGGGATTTTTTTACCGAACATCGGTTCTGTCGGTTCTTGTCACTGATTAATCAGACCGTTACAAGTAACATATGCATGTTAAATGACGATATTCTATGTGGCGTTTTTTCTGGTTGAATTCGTCGGGATATAAAGCTGGTAGGTATAACGCCAAGATTTGTCATAGGGCAGCCATGATAGCTTGTATCTATGGTTATCTCTCACGTACTGAGTATGTCGCCATGAAAAGATTTACCATTGAATTAACATGAATTAAGCTATAAATGTCATAATTATGTGTATTCAGAATCCTCATCAAGTATTGGCGCCTTACGTATTTGTATTGTATCCTAATCGTTTTTCTGTTTTTGTTTTGTTGAATGTTGGATCTGTTTTACAGTGTAGTCCCCACAGAGCCCCCACCCCTTCCCCTCCCTTTTTCTCTTCCCTCTCAATGAAAATATAAGGCGCCTGTATATTTATGTGGGGATCACGGTGCCTAATGGGGGTAAGGCGCTGGTTCGCTAGCCTGGAGGTCGGGTGTTTGATCCTTGCATTGGCCGAGAAAGTTCATCCAGATTTTCCGGCGTGGTTCCCCACTTTCTGGCCTCGAGGTCGGGTGTTCGATCCCTGCATTGGCAGAGAAGGTTTATCCAGATTTCCCGGCATGGTTCCCCCTTGTCAGTGATGCAGGACGGAGGGCCTGACATGGACAGCTCTCTAGTCGTTTGGATGGTACGAAAAACCGAAGTCCGGTGTACACATTGGCGTGCACGTAAAAGATCCCTGGACAGTTGGAATTCGATAAAAGAGTAGGCCGTAATGCCGCTGTCCGGGCAAAATTTCCCTCATAACACACTGTATGGCATATGCCCGTCTTCATTAGCCCAGTATAGGAGCAGAACAGTAGGACGTTAAACTCAATTTCATTTCATTTCATTTCTGTATATTTATGTGTATGATTTGGTTTGTTTTAGGTCGGTGTAATTCTGAATGTATTAAACAAGGAACGTGCAACCAAGTTTGTAAACATTTAGGTAGTCTCTCATTCTGATTTCTATTTGGGGGTTGGATGGCCGAATGATTAGCGCGTGTGCATTGTATCATAAGGTCGGGTGTTCGATCCCTGCATTAGTCGAGAAAGTTCATCCAGATTTTCTGGCGTGGTTCCCACTTGTCAGTGGTCCGGGACGGAGGGCCTGACAAGGACAGCTGTTTAGTCGTTCGGATGGGACGAAAAACCGATGTCCCGTGTACACGTAGCAGATCCCTTGACGCTGTTCGGGCAAAATCCCCCTCATGGCCCACTGTATGGCGTATGCACGTCTTCATTAGCCCAGTTAAAGGATTCAACGTCCCAGAATTGAATTCTCTCAAAACTTCGAAAGGTATCAATTGAACAAAGACAAACCTTCACAGACCCAAGACATGCGCTAACTGAATAACATTTACAACCTATCATCATAGCTGAAACGTTTGATTACGTCATGATTCTCACGCGTCTAAGATGTGTTTATATTTTCTGTCATTTTTCATTTACAGTAAAACCTGATACTGACGTCCGACCTAGACGAAGAATACCACCGGAAGTAAATGGTGAGGGTGGCACCAAAAGAAAACAAAGACGTAAAAACCGTAAAGATAGAAGAGGTGAGTTGTTGTTTATTTTACCGTATAGACTGGTCGTATATTACAGACGGTACATCTATAGTATAGACTGGTCGTATATTACAGACGGTACATCTATAGCATAGACTGGTCGTACATTACAAACGGTCCATCCATCGTATAGGCTGGTTGAATATTACGGACGGTCCATCTATCGTATAGACTGGTCATACAGACGGTCCATCCATGGTATAGACTGGTTGTATATTACAGAAGATCCAACCGTCGTATATTACAAACGGTCTATCCATTGTATAGACGGTATATTACAGACGGTCTATCCATCGTATATTACGGACAGGCTCATACACACGTCCACTACCGACTGTTAGTTGAATGGCAACCTACTTTCATTTTAAATGTTATGTTACTTTCTCTTTTTAGCCATCAACGAAAAGAAAATACTAAAGACGGAAAAAAGAATTTTAAAAATCATTAACCGGAAATCAAAAACATGGAATCTAACCCGAGACGAAAGAAGACATATTAGAAAAATACAGAGGGAAGTTAAAACTCGTGCTCTACAAATAACGGAACGACATTATCTCGTCAAAATATTAACTGGAGAACGAGAGAAGTTGAATAAACGAGAGAAACAGAAGCTTAAACGTTACAAGAAATTATTGAAATTAAACCGGAAGCGACGTGGTAAAGCTAAGACGAAGACTAAACGCAGGAAGAAGGATGTATGAGGCGAATTCTTATCTGTTTGAAGTTGATAATAATGGCGGATTCTTTTATCAGAACATTAAAACACAACCCAGCTTTAATTTAAAAAGGCTTTAAATGACGTAATACGTGATGATAAAAATGATATTAGTGTTCTTATCACGTGATATAGTCATCGTACGATATGATCACAAAATAAAACTGACAAATAATAGGGGATACTCGATTGGACGGAATTGAATTCTCTCAATCCCAAAAATAGTGATTATTGAGTGAAAAATGGCGATTTTGGGCTACAACGCATGCGTCGACTGCATAAGATATCTCAACCATCCATGACAAATTCGTTGTTTTGAATTACGTCACGATTCTACTCACACCACTTCTGTTGTCGGGGCTGACAGAACTGTGGCCGGACTGAATCCAGCGTCACTCGATTGCAATTCTGTCAATTCGGGACGCCCCGGACTGACTATCGAGCATCCCCATAGAAACACGGACAATGAACAGATTGTAGTTATGTTTCATTATATTTTTTTTCCTTGTGGAAACTAACCAAAGGCAAGTGTATATATTTATATTAGTTTATATATTTCAATGAATTATTTTGTAAATAATTTTAGCTCATAGATTCCCAGCTCTCTTCCGTTGAAAGTACAGATCCACTCGGCAAACCTCAGCAGATTCCAGTACCCTACATCTAGCCTCGGCTATGTGACGAGGTCCGCTATTGGAACTACTTTCAAGTTCCTGGATTACCAACGGCGTTGCCTATGACGACGCATTTGAAGAATGTTTACAAAGATTTCAAAGTCTGAAGCTGTTTTTTCTCTCAAGTTTATCCGATTTTCTTTAGACAAGGACAAGTTTGCACTGGAAGTTCTACACCCACTTCGAACGACGCAATTGTAAGAACTTCTTTCTAAAAGCGGCAAGTTTTCCTAATAAGTAAACCGGCCCCGCATCTCAATTGTATAGGCGTAGGTACACATCACTTACCGTCATACAACCGAGGCTAGATGTAGGGTACCGGAATCTGCCGAGGTTTGCCGAGTTAGTATAGATGCATTAGATGCATCTTGACAACTAACATCTCTGAACGTCGATTGTTAAGTAAAATCGTTGATTTGTTTTCATTGGTTAACAATATGGGTTTGAACTCTTATGGCCGATCTGCACTGAATGTTGCCACAAGGAAAGCGATAACGGGAACGTTACTTCATTCATCTGCTACCCATGACAACGAAGCGCAACCCTTGCACTGATGCAAAACATAGCAACCCACATGGAAACAGAAAATCATTTTATTGGCGATTGATAATCTGGATGACTGGATGATGTGCTCGTCTCGAGCTAAAACAAACCAAGAATCAAAATCTATAACTAATTATTTATCAAAACAATTCATTCAGTTTTTAGCGAATTTACATGATTTCATGGGCCTTATAATAGCTTTTATACGGTCCATGACGTTAAAATAGATTTAAAAATATTTCAGTTTACATGTCAACTATTTAAGCTAGAATGTTGGCTGTTCCGTTCACCCCCCACTTGAAATAGTGACGTATAAGCTCGCTCCATATATGACGTGTGTAGAGACATACTGTTGGTCCTGTATGACCACTGTTGATAGATATTATTTTATGAGATGTCCAGTTTACTCAACTACCCCAGGAAATATAATATATTTTTTATTAGTAGATGTTTTGATGCATTCGATTCAAAAGTAGAAGTTCCCGTCACCCCCTCTGCTTATTATTTTTGTTGGTATTCCACACACACACTTACACTACACTCAGCAAACCTCAGCAGATCCCAGTACCCTACATCTAGCCTCGACCGTGTGACGGGGTCCGCCATTGGAACTACTTTCAAGTTCCCGGATTACCAACGGCGTTGCCCATGACGACGGCTTTGAAGAATGTTTTATCATACAAATATTTCAAAGTCTGAAGCTGTTTTTCTTTCAAGTTTATCCAATTTTCTTCAAACAAGGACGACTTTGCACTGAAAATTCTAAACACGCTTCGAACGACGTAATTTTGATAACTTCTTTTTAAAAGCGGCAAGTTTTCCTAATAAGTAAACCGGTGTCGCATCGCAATTATATAGGCGTAGGTATATATCACTTACCGTCATACAGCCGAGGCCAGATGTAAAGTAACGGAATCTGCCGCGGTTTGCCGAGTGACTTACACTATGCAGTTTGTGGTCACTTGGGGGTGGCTAGCACCAAAAAAAATGATTATCTGTCGACCATTTGTCAGTCGTTTTTTGGGTTAAATCCTCCCTTCAAACTATTTTCAATTCAAAACTTTTGGTTTATTATTTGATTTTGTATATTACACAGTTTTAGTGCAGTCAACCAAATATATAATGACGTCATAGATATAAATAGCCTAGTCAATATTGAATGGTTTTGTAGTTATAAATAGTATTATTAAAATTACGTCATTGTGTATATTATATTTATAACTATGACGCCATTGTGTATATATTTATATCTATGACGTCATTATGTATATATTTATAATTAATATGTTTGTTTGATATGATGAAAAATTATACAATTAGATTTTAATGCGTCCAAAACTTTGTTCACTTGTCGACTATTTCACAATTTGATTAAAACAGAGATCCTATTTCGTTTCGTTTATTATAGTTCAATATTTCGTTTTATTTGTCTGTACTACGCTAGGATCTGGGCCCTTATTCACGAAAACTTAAACTAAGATACAATCGAAATTTTAAGAAATACTGCAATTCGATTGGCTGACCAGTAAAATCAATTTGCATATATCCAATGAAGTTGCAGTATTTCTTAAAATTTCGGTTGTAACTTAGTTTAAGTTTTCGTGAATAAGGGCCCTGGAAGAGATGTTATATTACCGGCGTTCTGGATGACGTGAGAGATTAGCCAATGAAACCATCTTTTACGAAGAGTTCTTGGGGTGCGATGCACGGAACTGTGGTTAAACCACTAGAAACGTCAGAGCTGATTGATTAATCAATGCCTGACGTCATAGGGTCAAAAGTCGCTCGCACGACCCCTGACGCGACCTTCCAGTACAACTTGCCAGATCTTCATGTAGTGTAGGCCATCGAAAGTATAAAAACGACGAAACGAAATATAGATCTGTATATTAATCAGATTGCTATAAGCTGCCAATCGTAGTACTGAAGAATCGAGACTAAACATGAAAACAGTGCACAAAAAGAAACGGAATGCAATTGAGTTTAACACCCAACTTTACTACACCAACCTCATCTTCAATAGAAGGCTTGATCTCGCTTTAACTACGTACATCTTATCAAGGTCTTCGTGTAATACCCTGCATATTTCGGCACTAATTTGGATTGGGTACTAGCCCAACGTGTGAGCCTATCAGATTCCTCGATCGTCGCTTTCAAGCTAAAATGTCTACCTGTGATAATCGAGTTGCAAAGTTCAAGGTTTATTCAATGTCAAGGGTTCCTTGGTGGTCGCGAAGTCACAACCTCTAATTGGACGCTACTGCTCACGTGTCTGTAGATAACATAGCTATAAGTTCGGGAATTGTGAAGTAAACAAGCAACGGGCCAGATGTTGTGAAACTCGCAGTCGTTGCTTCAGGAAAATGCAGCAACCTGGGCTAATGTAGACGGACATACGCCATGCTGTGCTATATGGGGGGGGGGGGGGATTAAGGACATCCAGCTAGCGAGCAAACGTCTAATACAGATCCACCGTAGGTCCAGACAATTATACCCCAGAAAATAATATGTTATAAGTGACCTCTAGAGTTCAGGGAGGGTAAGCGTACCCTGTCTCCTACATGATACGCACCATAACTTGCCGACCCAATGAAATTTAGAGAGAGAGAGAGGGGGAAATGGGGTTTAACGTCCACTTAACACAAACTAGGTCATTTCGGGACCAACACATGGTTTAACTTTATTTTAATAATTCGCTTGCGCGTAGGGGTCTTTAGCAGTGGGGGGAAACCGGAGGACCAGGGGAAAACCCACGAGGTTGGACAGGCGACACTACTCCTTGTCACGTACAACCGGGGATTCGAAACCACGCCAGTTGACTCAATGACAGGCCTTATGATACAGCATGCACGTGCTAACTATTCGGCCATCCAAGCCCCCCATGAAATTTAGAAATATTTTTTAACAAATGGTGGATAAAGGAATGAAAGATACGTTATGTGATCTGGGTATGAGATTGTCTCCTGCGAACGTTTTTCGCGGCGTTTCGGCGCGCGTGTTCGCCGGCGGAACAGTCGTTCTTATGTAATGGGACTGTTTCCATGTAACCGGCGAAAACGCGAGCGGAAACGGATCACCCGTTGTTGTTCTTCTTCTTTGTGTTTAACGTCCGCGTCCACCGAGAATGATATCGCACAGGCGTCTGTCTTGTGGGAGGGAACTGGTGCGACATACGCTCACACCAGGGATCGAAACCACACGACCACACTCTGGGCCACTCTAGTCCCCCCCCCCTCCCCGGTCTCATTCGCTCAATCCAGTGTCTTATATAACGGCTAGCTCAATCGAATAATAGGTGCTATTATTGTGACGCCGATCTCGTGCTACAGCGAACCAAATTCGAGGAAATTGACGTTCTTGGCTGGATCAGACATTGTGATATACTAAACGTACGTTGTCTCTCTACAATTAGCTCTGCTTGAGGACGGGCACTAAGCTAATTGACCGACATTTTGATTCCTAAATCGACGATTATGGGAGATTAGATAAAGAGCTGACAGTCTTACTATAATAGTCAAAAACTAGATAATGTAAAGGCAATTTGCTGAAAATTTCAGTCAAATTGATCCACTATGAACCGAAAATTTAGCGATTGAATTTTAGGCCTAGCCTCGATCATCATTACTTAAGTCGGTACGATAAAAACATAGTCTCGATTATCCAATTTTTGTTTTAATCATCATTAAGCGTTGAGCAGCAGATCGTATTCCAATCCAGTAAATATCGATGATACCGAGAATTGATTATGGTCTGCATGAGTTAATTAATGTCTAATTAATAATTTAGATAACATTCCAAGCCTAAAGAAAGACCTGCAATAGGCAGATTTAGCTCTTGCATAATGTATATTTAATCAAATTGAACAGGTTTATTTGACCTTTGAGTGTATGACAGATATGAAACGGAGTAGAACAGCATTACACTATAGTATACTAATTTTGGATATGGCGGCCATTCAGGACAGATTTATTTTCGAAGTATATAGCAGTTGTCTGTGTGCAGAATGACACGGTGGTCGCCGAACTGTGACGTCATTGCCGATAATGACGTTTAACACTGGCGGATACACTGGACAGTGTTAAACGGGCATTATGTAAGAGCTAATCGGCCTATTGCAGATCTTTCTTTGGACCTTAAATGTTATATAAACTATTAATTAGACAGTTATTAACATGACAAGACCATAATCAACCCTCGATGGCATCGGATATCTTCGATTTTAAGTATATTAGAACGGTTAATGATTTAATTTTAAAACGGAGAAGCGAGGCTAAGACTCGAATGGCCAGTACGGTGGTTACGATCGATGTAGACATCTTGTCAAAACTACAAGTATTGATAACTATGCTCAAAATAAAGTAATTTGAATGAAATTTACAATATATTCATTTTGCATTATCTATTTTTGAAATATTATTGCGAGAACTACCAGCTCTTTATCTTTTTCTTATATAGTGCCCCTTTAACGTTTATAAGAACAGTCCGTGACAGAGGCGAACCTCATAGCCCCCCCCCCCCCCCACAACCCCCACACACACCGGCCCTTACTTTTTAGAAGATCCCTTCTCATAAATATATAACATCTTTCTTAGTTCTGTTGTATTGGATAAAAACTTGTCACGTTTATCAATTACTGTCTAATTAACCCCATCTTGATTTTGCTGTCAGACCAAGGGTTCTTGACGAATTGGGTTGACTCGGTTGTGTCCCTTGTCTAGCTAATAGACTAGGTGCTTATTCACGAATCCCTTGTCACGGCTCTAATAAAATACACGACACCGCTTAAATCGTTAACATTATTTGGTTGGTGAGAATGAATTTTGTTTTATTGACATCCAGTTATTTAGTTTATTGTACTGGAAATCATTAGGATAAAATGAAATGAAATTGGGTTTAACGTCCTACTGTTCTGCTCCGACTGGGCTAATACAGTGTGCAATGAGGGAAATTTTGCCCGGGCAGTGGCCTACACTTATATCGAATTCCAACTGCCAAGGGATCTTTAACGTACACGACTGGGCTAATGAAGACCGGCATACGCCATACAGTGTGCTATGAGGGAAATCGAATTCCAACTGCCAAGGGATCTTTTACGTGCACGCCAATGTATATACCAGACTTAAATTTTTCGAACGACTAAACGGTTGTCCTTGTCAGGCCCTCCGTCCTGCACCACTGACATGGTGAAACCACCTCGGGAAATCCCGATGAACTTTTTCGGCCAATGCAGGGATCGAACACGCGACCTCCAGGCTAGTGAGCCAGCGTGTTACCCTCTTAGCCATTGGCGCTCCCAGGGCACCTTGGAATGTTGGAAAATGAAAAGAAATAAAATGTGCTTTAACGTCATATATTTCTGAAATCTGCATCAACCGGGATTATGAAGACTGCCACATACGTCATACTGTGTGCTTTGTGGGCGGGGAGTTTTTACCGGACATCGGCGTAGGCCTACACTTTATATCGAATTCCAGCCAGTGTCTTACTCATCGAGAGAGAGAGAGAGAGAGAGAGAGAGAGAGATGAGGGTTAACGTCCACTCGACACAAAGTAGGTCATTTCGGGACTAACACATGGGTCAATTTATTTTAAAAATTCGCTTACGCGTAAGAGTCTTTAGCAGGGGGAGGAAACCGGGGGACCCGGAAAAAACTCACGAGGTTGGACAGGCGACCCTACCCCTTGTCACGTACGACCGGGGAATCGAAACCACCACAGTTGACTCAATGACAGACCTAATAATACACCGCGCACCGCGCACGTGCGAACCATTCGGTCATACAACCCACGAAATACAACACCAAGTCAAAGATGTGTTTTTTTACAATAAAAAAATTAAAGCAACATAATAAATCATATCTATTATAAAAATATGACACATAACGGGGTGACAACTAAACAACCCATTCTTAAATGGAAATCAGTATGGGCCTAAGGCCTTTAATCATATGTATTGAATACCATATCTGATGTAATGGAAGGCAAATTCCTTTTTGATGGAATGTGAATGATAGTCCTTTTGATTCCGGACAGCTGAAAGTCATCAACACGTTTTATTAAAAAATCTGTGAGAATTAAACAGAGTAGATTATTAAACAGTAAAAAATCAAATGCATAAAAAAAACCTTTTAACGTAGACACAAAACCATTCAACTGAATTAAATTGACAGTTAACTGAGAGGAGAGTAGAGTGTAGACCAAACTTGTTCCTATTCAGTTGGAAATTACAGTTCAAGGGGGACAACTCCTAATATCTTGTCGATAAAACTAAAATCTCCGCTGTTTTAAAGAACAGGAATAACGTAGTATCGAGGGCACCCGCCGACACCCTACTCAAAAGCCAAGCTCAAATTTTGAATGAGATTACAAACCATTAAGCCATATCATTATTTTTAAAACACAATTTTCTAGATCGTGGATTGACTTGAACTATTTTTAAAGTCCTTCTTGACCATATTAGGTCCATCGAGGGGGCTAGACATTAAAGTCTACAGACTTTAAAATTCTGATCACCAAAGAAACCTTCAACAATTAACCTATTGATTCTGGGCTGTTATTCTGCATGTTTCACTTATTGTCCCTGCAGCGCATTCTAGACATTAAAGGGTTAACTCTAGCTGTTATCAGGCCAATCTGATTAAAACACAGACCCTATTTCGTTTCGTTTTTTTATAGTTCAAAATTTCGTTTCACTTGTCTTCACAACACTAGGATCTGGAAGAGTTGTTATATAACAGGCGTTCTAGTTGATGTGAGGAATTAGCCAATGAAACGGTCTGTTACGGCGAGTTCTTGGTGTGCTCTGCACGGAACTGTGGGTAAACCCCTAGAAACGTCAACGCTGATTGATTAATCGAATTTCTGACGTCATAGGGTCAAAAGCCGCGACGTATGGCCATGACGCGACCTCCCAGTACAATTGATCAGATCTTCATGTAGTATAGGTCATCTAAAGTATAAAAAAAACAAAATGAAATATAGATGTGTATTTTAATCAGATTGGTTATCAGACGTAAGAAGTGTCTTACGTTGTCCACAAAATATGGCTCAATTATTCTTCCCCATCCCCCAATAACATAAAATGATGATATTAAGTTTTGCCACATTCACGAAGCTTTAAAGCCACCTTATACAATGAAATGGGGTTTATAGCCACCTTATACAATGAAATGGGGTTTAAAGTTCTACGTTTCTGCTCCAACCGAGATAATGATGATGGGCATACATCAAACAGTGAAAATCTCCATCAAAAATTTGAAGAAATAAAACAACAGATCAGTGAGTGGATATTTTATTTTTACACTAAGTAGATTCAGCTCCTCTGGGATGATCATTAGGACGATAGAGTTATTATCGATATCTAATTAATATTGATAATTAGAACACGGTAGGCACCTGTCTTTAATTACGGTTTATATTTAGTAACATATCGTTGTCTAGGTAACGTGTGTATGTATATATATTGATAGATTTTCCATCAATCTCTTATTCTCCTGCTGTACGTGAAAACTGGATTTTTAAAAAGTTGAGGTTGAAGTAACCCGACACGCCCATCCGATGACCTCTGAACCCAACGATAACTGACGTATAAGTTAATATCAAGATGGCGGAGTTTGACAGGTGAGTATGATGCACAGGGCGTTGTTTAATGGTATATGATATTATTCGAATAAGGACATACTACAAAAGCTATTGATATCATTATGATATTATAAGCTGATTAGTTGTAATGGTGGTAGACTTGTTTGTGTAAACACGCATGTTACAGAGCTCACATTAAATACATAATTACATACATGTTTTCTTAGGCTATGTAGGGCTAACACTAACAGTATACTGTTTACCGTATATATAGCAAACATTGATAGTCGTATAAAATAAACTATTTAACGGTATATAGCACACACTGGTAACTGTGTAAAGTATACCGCGAGGTGGTATATATCGCTAGTTTCGTTATCTGTTGTGATGACTGCTGTGCACGAGGCAGATTAAGACCGACTCTTTCCCAAACATCTATCTCGGTTGGAATTATATAGCGGGAGAGGGGGGTGGGGGGCGCCGGGTGGTTAGCGTGTTCGCGCTGTATCATAAGGTCTGTCATTGAGTCAACGTGTGCTATGAGGGAAATTTTGCTCGGCGTACGGCACTACGGCCTAGTTTTATATCGAATTCCAACTGTCAAGGGATCTTTTTACGTACACGCCACTGTGTACACGGGACCTCGGTTTTTCGTATCATCCGAATGACTTAGACAGCTGTCCTTGCCAGACCCTCCTTTCTGCACCACTGACAAGGGGGAACCACGCCGGAAAATCTGGATGAACTTTCTCGACCAATGCAGGGATCGAACACCCGACCTCCAGGCTAGCGAGCCAGCGTCCTACCCACTTAGCCACCGTGACCCCATTTTGTAAACGAAATCTAGTGTAAAATTAGTTGTATAAGGATGATGTCAGTGACTTGTTTACTGAAACATGTGCATAGCTTGAAATGAATCAAACGGAACACGGAATACCATGAATAAAACACGACGACTTTTTAAACATACACTATGCAAGAGCTAAATCTGCCTAGTACGGGTCTTTCTTTAGGCCTGACATGTTATATAAACTATTAATTAGACTTTTATTAACATGAGAAGACCATAATCAACTCTAGATGCCATCGCATGTGTCCGATTTTCATTAGATTTGAATCCGATCTGCTGTTCAACGTCCATTGATGATTAAAGGCAAACATGAATAATCGAAACTTTGTTAGCAGTAACAATGGCAATCGAGGCTACGGTGATTTTTATATAAAAGTCTTCTCGGCTCAGAAGGAAGCAATTTGACTGAAATTTTCAGCATATTCCATTTACATTATCTAGTTTTTAACTATTATAGTGAGAACTGCCAACTCTTTATCTAATCTTACCTAATGTATCTTTAAATGAAAGCAGATGTGAAAATGGGCGGGTGTGTAGGTTTACGATACAGAAATCCTACTAATAGGCCTAATTGTGAACAGTATGGGTTAATACGTTTTTTGTGTCTGACCAGAGTGGAATTAAGACCCACAGAGGCCCTAAGCACTTTTGGTGACCCCATATATATAGTTGAAATGAAATGAAATGGGGTTTAACGTCCTACTGTTCTGCTCCTAAACTGGGCTAATGAAGACGGGCATACGCCATACAGTGTGCTATGAGGGAAATTTTGACGGGCAGCGGCGCAACGGCCTACTCTTATATCGAATTCCAACTGCCAAGGGATCTTTTACGTGCACACCAATATGTACACTGAACCTCGGTTTTCCGTCCCATCCGAACGACTAGACAGCTGTCCTTGTCAGGCCCTCCGTCCTGCATCACTGAATGAACTTTCTCGGCCAATGCAGGGATCGAACACCAGACCTCCAGGCTAGCGAGCCAGCGTCTTACCCACTTAGTCACGTGATCCCCCCATATATAGGTAATTCAAAATATAAACAATAATAAATCACAAACAACCGCCATGCACGTGATTTAGAGCTTTTCTGCGATTTTATACACGTCATCAACAAAAACAATGAAAAAACTGATTGAAAGATCTTAATTACTTTTTAAACATACATTATGCAAGAGCTAAATCTGTTTATTGCAGGTGTTTCTTTAGGCTTGAAATGTTATCTAAATTATTAATTAGACATGACTCAATGACAGGCCTGATGATACAGCGCCCGCGTGCTAACCATTCGCCCCCCCCCCCCTTAGTTGCTATGTAGTAAATATATATAATATATAGATATTCTTATGCTAAGAGTGCGAGAGAAACACACAGAGGGGTCAAGGCGTCCATTAAGGGCGTCTAGTTTAAAGCTGACTGATTAATGCTGATAATGAGTGTCGAATTTACAAGTATTTAATTTCCTGACCACTGTTTAAACATTTATCATTATACATCAATAATCAGTTGGGTTGTTTATTTTTAAACGGTGATCGAGAAATTAAATACTTGTAAATTGGACACTCATTATCAAAATCGAATGCTCAGTTTTAAGCTGGACACAAGAACAAATCAGATGATTTTTGCTGATTTAAACGATTTTTATGAATTTTTAAACAAAGATTTGATATTTTAATATTTATCACTAATTTCTTTCACATTTATTTAAAAATGAATGTAAAAGAATTTATCACCAAGTACTTTCACATTTATTTAAAAATGAATGAGAAAGAAATTAGTGCTAAATACACAAGATTTAATGGTACCCGGGTTACAGTGTAATCATCTATATTTATCATATATATATTTATAATAAGATATTTAAGATATTTAAGGCCCGTAGGCCTATATGTACAGTAGGGTAGATAATACAGACATTTAACTATAATGATTCTAATATACGTTTGCCTGAAGAAGGTTAGTAATGCAGAAAGTACTAAAAAAAAACCCAGTTTTCTTTCATAAAACAACTTTATTCCTAATATCTAACACCTGAGAGTAGCTTTAACTATGACCTAACATACATTATTCAAGAGCTAAATCTGCCTATTACAGGTCTTTCTTTAGGCCTGAAATATTATCTAAATTATTAATAAGACATTAATTAACTTATCCAGACCATAATCAACTCTCGATGGCATCGGATACTCGAGATTTTAACTAGATTAGAACGGTTCGCCATTCAAAAATGTAATTTAAAAAATGGGAAAGTGAGGCTAAGTCTGGTTACCAAAGTGCACACATCTTGTCAAAGCTACAAACAGTGATAACTTGGCTCAGAATAAAGTAATTAAAATGAAATTTTCAATATTTTCATTTTACATTATCTATTTTAGAGCTATTATAGTAAGAATGATCAGCTCTTTATCTAAATCTTACATAATGCATCTTTATAATATAATTATATATATATATTATATCTACATAATGCATCTTTATAATATAATTATATATATATATTATATCCGTCTCATCATTATGTTGATATCCTCGTTTTGAGATTTCTAGCTTCCGATGAATCATTCTTAAACCAACAGGCTAGCGAAAAGGAATGTTGTGTAAATATAGCCTATTGCATAAGTAATAACTTCTTGATCGTGCAGTGGCGTGGTTGTGATTCCCCGCCTGTGCGTGACAAGGATTTGCGTCGCCTCGTGGGTTTTTTCCGGGTCCTCCGGTTGCCTCCCACTGCTAAAGACCCCTACGCGCAAGCGAATTATTGAAATCAAATTGAACCATATGATATTCCCGAAATGACCTAATTTGTGTCGAGTGCACGTTACCCCCCCCCCCCCCCCCCCGCTCTCTCTTTGTCACGGTTGTTTGAGATGAAATGAAATGAAATGGTGTTTAACGTCCTACTGTTCTGCTCCTAAACTGGGCTAATGAAGACGGGCATACGCCATACAGTGTGCTATGAGGGAAATTTTGACGGGCAGCGGCGCAACGGCCTACTCTTATATCGAATTCCAACTGCCAAGGGATCTTTTACGTGCACACCAATATGTACACTGAACCTCGGTTTTCCGTCCCATCCGAACGACTAGACAGCTGTCCTTGTCAGGCCCTCCGTCCTGCATCACTGAATGAACTTTCTCGGCCAATGCAGGGATCGAACACCAGACCTCCAGGCTAGCGAGCCAGCGTCGTACCCACTTAGTCACGTGATCCCCCCATATATAGGTAATTCAAAATATAAACAATAATAAATCACAAACAACCGCCATGCACGTGATTTAGAGCTTTTCTGCGATTTTATACACGTCATCAACAAAAACAATGAAAAAACTGATTGAAAGATCTTAATTACTTTTTAAACATACATTATGCAAGAGCTAAATCTGTTTATTGCAGGTGTTTCTTTAGGCTTGAAATGTTATCTAAATTATTAATTAGACATGACTCAATGACAGGCCTGATGATACAGCGCCCGCGTGCTAACCATTCGCCCCCCCCCTTAGTTGCTATGTAGTAAATATATATAATATATAGATATTCTTATGCTAAGAGTGCGAGAGAAACACACAGAGGGGTCAAGGCGTCCATTAAGGGCGTCTAGTTTAAAGCTGACTGATTAATGCTGATAATGAGTGTCGAATTTACAAGTATTTAATTTCCTGACCACTGTTTAAACATTTATCATTATACATCAATAATCAGTTGGGTTGTTTATTTTTAAACGGTGATCGAGAAATTAAATACTTGTAAATTGGACACTCATTATCAAAATCGAATGCTCAGTTTTAAGCTGGACACAAGAACAAATCAGATGATTTTTGCTGATTTAAACGATTTTTATGAATTTTTAAACAAAGATTTGATATTTTAATATTTATCACTAATTTCTTTCACATTTATTTAAAAATGAATGTAAAAGAATTTATCACCAAGTACTTTCACATTTATTTAAAAATGAATGAGAAAGAAATTAGTGCTAAATACACAAGATTTAATGGTACCCGGGTTACAGTGTAATCATCTATATTTATCATATATATATTTATAATAAGATATTTAAGATATTTAAGGCCCGTAGGCCTATATGTACAGTAGGGTAGATAATACAGACATTTAACTATAATGATTCTAATATACGTTTGCCTGAAGAAGGTTAGTAATGCAGAAAGTACTAAAAAAAACCCCAGTTTTCTTTCATAAAACAACTTTATTCCTAATATCTAACACCTGAGAGTAGCTTTAACTATGACCTAACATACATTATTCAAGAGCTAAATCTGCCTATTACAGGTCTTTCTTTAGGCCTGAAATATTATCTAAATTATTAATAAGACATTAATTAACTTATCCAGACCATAATCAACTCTCGATGGCATCGGATACTCGAGATTTTAACTAGATTAGAACGGTTCGCCATTCAAAAATGTAATTTAAAAAATGGGAAAGTGAGGCTAAGTCTGGTTACCAAAGTGCACACATCTTGTCAAAGCTACAAACAGTGATAACTTGGCTCAGAATAAAGTAATTAAAATGAAATTTTCAATATTTTCATTTTACATTATCTATTTTAGAGCTATTATAGTAAGAATGATCAGCTCTTTATCTAAATCTTACATAATGCATCTTTATAATATAATTATATATATATATTATATCTACATAATGCATCTTTATAATATAATTATATATATATATTATATCCGTCTCATCATTATGTTGATATCCTCGTTTTGAGATTTCTAGCTTCCGATGAATCATTCTTAAACCAACAGGCTAGCGAAAAGGAATGTTGTGTAAATATAGCCTATTGCATAAGTAATAACTTCTTGATCGTGCAGTGGCGTGGTTGTGATTCCCCGCCTGTGCGTGACAAGGATTTGCGTCGCCTCGTGGGTTTTTTCCGGGTCCTCCGGTTGCCTCCCACTGCTAAAGACCCCTACGCGCAAGCGAATTATTGAAATCAAATTGAACCATATGATATTCCCGAAATGACCTAATTTGTGTCGAGTGCACGTTACCCCCCCCCCCCCCCGCTCTCTCTTTGTCACGGTTGTTTGAGATGAAATGAAATGAAATGGTGTTTAACGTCCTACTGTTCTGCTCCTAAACTGGGCTAATGAAGACGGGCATACGCCATACAGTGTGCTATGAGGGAAAGTTTGCCCGGACAGCGGCACTACGGCCTACTCTTATATCGAATTCCAACTGCCAAGGGATCTTTTACGTGCACGCCAATGTGTACACGGGACCTCGGTTTTTCGTCCCATCCGAACGACTAGACAGCTGTCCTTGTCAAGCCCTCCATTCTGCACCACTGACAAGGGGAAACCACGTCGGAAAATCATGATGAACTTTCTCGGCCAATGCAGGGATCGAACACCCGACCTCAAGGCTAGGGAGCCAGCGTCTTAACCACCCAGCCACCGTGGCTCCCGCATCACTGACAAGGGGGAATGTTTGAGATGAAGGTTCTAATAACGAGCTATATAATTTGTGTTGTGATATAATTTATTTTGCAGTTTACGAGCTGCTGTGACTGCGAACAACCTACTGAAGGTGGAAGAAATTCTCGGGGATCTTGACCAACAATTCAAAGATAAGCCAAACAGGAATGAATATCTTAACCAGAGAAAGGCCCTTTGCTTTGAAGCTTTGAACCGTAAAAATCTTCCTCTACTTAAGTTGGTTTTTCATGGTGAAATTTTTATAATGGGCAGGGAATTTGATCGGGATGCCAACATCGAGATGTTAAATGCTGCCATTGCTGGAGATTATGCAGAAGGCGTCCAGTTTTTAAACGAACAACGACTGTCCCTTGAATATGAGGAAAGGGGCTGGAGTGCATTGCAGGAAGCCACTAGCAAGAACAAAACAGCAGTTATTAAATTCTTGTTTTCACTACCATATTTAAACATCAACTTGAATCCCGAGGAAACGTTGCTAATGACAGCCTGTAGCAGACGCCATGTTGAAATCCTGAATCTTCTATTGAGCAACAACAGAATTAAAGAAACCATTAATGTGACGTCATCTAAAGATGGTGGAACGGCTCTACATCGATGCTTTGAAGGCGCAATTCAACCAGATGATGCTTCGGTCCTGGCTTGTGTAAAAGCCCTGGTCCAAGCTGGCGCAGATGTTAATCTTCCCGCTAAATCTACCAACAAGACGCCATATGCATTGGCGAATGAAAAGGGCCAGAAACAAGCTGCTCAATATCTGAAAGACAACGGGGCTAATTAAAGCCTTGATTTTTTTATATTTTATATATTAATAATTCTTATAATATAATTGACATTAGATCATTAGCAATATTTATTACACAGCGAATCTCAATCCTTCTCCATTATACTAATAATTATCTTAGGGAATGCTCGATTGCACGTTCCGGAATCGAATTCTGTCAAACCCAAAAATAGTGACAATCGAGTGAAAAATGGGAATTTGGAGCTAGAACGCATGCGCTGACTGCGTAAGAAAATATATCAACCAACCATGACAGCTGAAACATATTCGGTGTGCTTAAATACGTCACGATTCTACTCGCACTACCTCCGTTGTCGTGGCTGACAGAACTGTGACATGACTGAATTCCGCGTCACACGTTTGCAATTCGGTCAATTCCTGCCTGACAATCGAGCATCCACGTCGACCACATGACAAGCCCAGGACTCTCTGACACCTTTTTGTAATGATGTGGTATTTTATTTCATTATGTTCCAATTACTATGGGGGTGCTGGATTGTCAGTCCGGAACGTCCCGAATTGACAGAATTGAAGTCAAGTGATACGAAATTCAGTCCTGTCACAGTTCTGTCAAATCCCGAGTAGAATCGTGACGTTTTTTAAGTAACAAATATGTTTCAACTGCCATGATTGGTTGAGATATTTTTTATGCAGTCGGCACATGAGTTGTACTCCGAAATTCTTCTTTTCATTCGACTGACACTATTTTTGGAATTGAGAGAATTTAATTCCGGAATGTTAAATCGAGTACCCCCTAAAAGCCATTCAAAGAATGATGCAGGATTATTTGTTAAAACCATTGTTCAAAAATCTTTAAAATTTGTGTCGTTATAATAATATTATGAATTATCTCCCTTTAATCATAATTGGCGTACATAGCAACAACTATGTTCCTTCGCAAATTGAACCTCAATATCTAGGCTAGGATGATTTTTGCGCTGCTTTGGTTAGAATAAAGGTAATCATATTATGCCATTCTCGGAAACCTGTCACCTCTGGTTAAGGAGAATACCCTGGTTTGTCTTTGTGGGCATAGTTGTGCAAAATCATACCTCCGACCATGTGACGGCTGAGTGGCCTTGCTGTTATAGCTTGGTTTTATTAGAGGACTATTAAAAAACACCCCAACCAACACCCACGAGTTTAGTGCTAAATGATAAGGCCAGCTCAATTTTTCGTCATACGTCAGGAGATGTAAACACGGCTAGCGCTAATCCTGGACCTAGCCCTAACCTACAATCTTGCCAACAATCTCAGCGACCTTGACAAAAATTGAGCTGTCCTTAACAAATATATTTAGCCCAACACCCAGAGTCTATTAGTGTACACTAGAGACACAGGCTATCATACAATTGTTAATGATTTACCCAATCTGGTTAAAACACAGATCCTATTTCGTTTCGTTTTTATAGTTCAAAATTTCGTTTTACTTATCTTTACTACACTAGGACCTAGAAGAGTTGTTATCATTGACGTGTTCTGAATGATGTGAAGGAATAGCCAATGAAACGGTCTGTTACGGCGAGCTTTGCACGGAACTGTGGGTAATCCACTAGTAACATCAATGCTGATTGGTTAATCAAATGTCTGACGTCATAGGGTCAAAAGCCGCTCGTATGACCTTTGACGAGAACTATTGCTACAACCGGTCAGATCTTCATGTAGTGTAGGCTATCGAAAGTATAAAAAAAAACGAAACGAAATATAGATGTGTATTTTAATCAGATTATGATTTACCAGTTTATATTCTATGCAATATTTTAGACGCAATTAGAGAGCAATTTAACTATGTTTTTTTTCTCTGTAAACTATTTAATATTTACATGTATATACTATTGATGTTGTTAACTGACCAATATTTAATATATTTTTGATGTTGTTAACTGACCAATATTTAAATTGTTTATCTTTATAATTAGTTAAGTTTTATGATAAAATAATTTACTATATATTAACTTGAAATGCTGATATGGGACAAGGTACGGGGATAAAATGAGATCGGAGGAAATGACGTGACAGAATGAGTTCACGTAACGGGACATGACATAACAGAACGAGTTAACGTAAAGGAACGTGACGTGATAGAACGAGTTAACGAAAGGAACGTGACGTGACAGAACGAGTTAACGTAATAGAACGTGACGTGATAGGATGAGTTGACGCAACAGAGCGTGATGTGATAGGACGAGTTAACGTAACAGAATGTGACGTGATAGAATGAGTTAACGTAACGGAACGTGGCACGATAAAATGTGTTAACGTGGCGGGATAGAACGATTTAACGTAAATTTACGAATTTCAATTTCAAATGTACAAGAAAGCTGTCTTAGTAATCTGAATTACTTAAACCACGTGTACAAGAAAGTCACGTTATAATGTACAAGAAAGCGGTATTAGTGGGATCAGCAATATTTCTGCTCAGTTTTTTTTAATAATTTTATCTTTTTATGAAATGTAGATTAAATGTTATCTTTTAATTCACTTTGTTGATAAAATAATCCATGAGCTAATTTGTATTTCTTTCTGTTATTACACGTTAGACTGTGGTTCATATACGATCTGCCATCTGTTATTACACGTTAGACTGTGGTCCATATAAGGACAGTCATCTGTTATTACACGTTAGACTGTGGTTCATATACGGCCTGTCATCTGTTATTACACGTTAGACTGTGGTCCATATAAGGACAGTCATCTGTTATTACACGTTAGACTGAGGTTCATATAAGGACAGTCATCTGTTATTACACGTTAGACTGTGGTCCATATAAGGACAGTCATCAGTTATTACACGTTAGACTGAGGTTCATATAAGGACAGTCATCTGTTATTACACGTTAGACTGTGGTTCATATACGGCCTGTCATCTGTTATAACACGTTAGTCTGTGGTCCATATAAGGACAGTCATCTGTTATTACACGTTAGACTGTGGTTCATATACGGACTGTCATCTGTTATAACACGTTAGACTGTGGTTCATATACGGCCTGTCATCTGTTATAAAACGTTAGACTGTGGTTCATATACGGTCTGTCATCTGTTACACGTTAGAATGTGGTTCATATAAGGACTGTCATCTGTTATTACACGTTAGACTGTGGTTCATATAAGGCCTGTCGTGAAAGTTAGCCGTGGGTCAGACACCAAGTTGTACATGACCAGAACATTGGACGCTTGACTGTTCCGACTGCTTTATGTTCTTCCCGAGATGACCACGATTTGTTGCTAAACCTAACTTCCTAGTGATAGAAATTGGGTTTAACGTCCTACTTTGCTATAAGGCAAATAATAGTGCCCACACGGTGCCACTACGGCCAGCTCTTATTACCATTTTCAACTGTCAGGGAATCTTTAAATTGCTGTCAAGTGATGTTTTTGTCCCACCGAACAACTAGATACTTTTCCTTGTTTTACCCCTGTCCTACAACACAACTCGACACAAACTCAGTCATTCTGGGACTAATATATGGTTCAATTTTATTTCAATAAGTCTCTTACGGGCACGAGTCTTTAGCCTTGGGGGCGAACCTGGGGACCCGGAGAAAACCCACGAGATTGTTCAGGCGATCTTTCACCTTGCATACCAGTGGAGATTCGAAACCACGTGATTTGACCCAATGACAGACCTTATGATGCAACGCGCACGGGTTAATCATTCGGTCATCCAGGGTCGCCCAGGACATTTACTTAAGGAAGCTGAAGCACTGGGGTCCGACAATTTTAAATTATACGATGTGAACGCTCTGTGCTTTATGTTTCAAGTGTGATTTTTTACCTAGATAATCTACCCCCACCCCCATCCCCAGACACCCCCAACCCCACCCCCTCTTTCAAATGGTACCAAAATCACATAATTTTCAATATATATCATAGTTATGCCTCACGCCATGTTCCTGAAGCAACGACCGCGAGTTTTACAATATCTAGCCGTTGCTTCAGTACTCAACAATTCCCGAATTTGTGCGCTAGTTGTGTTTACACTGACTAATTAGCATTGTCCAATCAGAAGTCGTGGCACATAACACACTGTAAACAAATATGGCGGCCTCCATAGAAAAAGAAATAGACAAGTTTACAGCCTTTGTTGATCAACCATGATTTCCAGCAACCTTGGCATTGATCGATTGTCACATGTAGACATTTTAGCTAGAAGCGCGAGACTTGATAATCGTAACGATATTTTTAACGAAGGAATCTGATAGGATCACAAGCTGGGCTTATACCCAATCAAAATTAGTGCTAAAATATGCGGGGTATTACGTGAAGGGCTTGATGAGATGTGCGGATGGGACGAAAAACTGAGGTCCCGTGTATACATTGACATACACGTAAAAGATCCCTTGGAAGTTGGAATTCGATATAAGAGTATGCCATAGTGCTGCTGCCCTGGCAAAATGTCCCTCATAGCACACTGTGCATCATATGCCTGTCTTCATTAGCCCAGTCGCAGCAGAACAGTAGGACATTAAACCCCATTTCATTTCATTTGCATCAATACTTACAAAAAATACTTAAAAAAGCACTCGGTGTGTGAGCCGACATAATAGCCTGTTGACTGGGCAACCTTGGCTACTACCTATTGATAGCCACAGGTATAATATAACCGCTGTGAGACCTTGAAGTAATAGCAAGTATATTCTTGGCTTTTAACCAGAACACGTAACCATATTAATGGTATATAGATAGACTACATAGATGCTGGCTATTATATTATCATTATAACTAGATCTACATACAGTTATTATCACGGACCTGTATAGTCAGAGTTATATTAGTACCCATACAACACACAATAGGTCATATTCGGGACTATGCTTAGAGAGAGAGGGGGAGAGAGAGAGAGAGAGGGGGGTTTTACAGTCCACTCGACACAAACTAGGTCATTTCGGGACTAACATATGGTTCAATTTGAGAGAGAGAGAGAGAGAGAGAGTTAACGTCCACTCGACACAAACTAGTTCATTTCAGGACTAACATATTGTTCAATTTTATTTCAATAATTCGCTTGCGCGTAGGGGTCTTTAGCAATGAGAGGAAACCGTAGGACCCGGAGAAAACCCACGAGGTTGAGCATGCGACCTACTCCTTGTCACTCACAACCGGGCAAGGGAATAAGAATTTCACCGGGAAAGCGGAGATTCCGTCTATAACCTTCCCCGAATTCTAAATTATGGTGCTCAGTGGATTATTTGACGTGAACACTAATGTATACACGGTTAGACGCTCCCCCCTCCACCCCAACTCTACATACTGTCGGCCCCGCCCCTACACATATTTCCTCATCCTACGAATACTGAAATTATGCATACAATTTTAAAACAGTGTTATAGACTGAAACCATATATACATCCATAGTAACAAACATAGTTACAACCATAGCTACAATACACATTTGTGTTGCCTTATAAAACAACCAAACATCACGATCGTTGTAACGATAAAATAACAACAACAACGATAAAAACTATATTATTTTATCATACGAGTAAAAAAAACCCTGAGTACAAACAGTTCAAATTGAAATAATCCAACATGGACGGTACATATACGTGATGGAATATATAACATGGTGAAACGTGGTGGATGGGGTGGGGCGGCATGGAACGTTGTGGAACGACATGGGTGCAGTGGACCACCATGGCACGTGGTGGAATGATATGGATGAAGTGGAACGTCATGGAACATGGATCCCAATGAGATGGGGTATAGATTGCTATGGGCCCATTGGGTGGGATATAGAACGCTATAGAGTGGGATACAGAACGCTATGGCGTGAGATCTATACACAGAACGATATCAGGTGGGATATAGAACGATACTCGGATAGATATGGAAGGTTGAGGAACGTGATTGTTAGGATGAAATAAAATGAAATTAGGTACGAAGAGCCGGACAGGAAAGGGTAGAATTAGATGAATGACTCACTACAAATCCCTATATACAGAATGAGATATAGAAGGGTTGGGGCATAGTCAGATGGGTGGGATATATTAGTAGGAGAGAGGGAGAGAGAGAGAGAGAGAAATGGGGTTTAACGTCCACTCGACACAAACTAGGTCATTTCGGGACTAACATATGGTTTAATTTTATTTCAATAATTCGCTTGCGCATAGGGGTCTTTAGTGGTGGGAGGAAACCGGAGGACCCGGGGAAAACCCACGAGGTTGGACAGGCGACCCTACTCCTTGTCACGTACAACCGGGGATTCGAAACCACGCCAGTCGACTCAATGACAGACTTTATGATACAGCGCGCGCACGCTAACCATTCAGCCATCCAACCCCCCAGAGAGAGAGAGATGGCGGGATAGATTAGTATTTTAGATACAAAATACACTGAATTAAATCAGAGATATTCTATAACGAATACCAACGTGAATCGAGTCTCTGTTTCTACAGTATCTTGTATCTCGAACTTGTGTATGTCGGGTTTAATGTCCGCTTTCCTCATCTCAAACTTGTGTAGGACGGGTTTAACGCCCGCTTTCCCCATCTCAAATTATCTGTCGCTTGTGTATGTTTACACGCTTACATGAAATTAGTCCAGCTATCACACTTGCAAAAATCAAACACCGATTTTAATTTGTGTCAGCCCCACTGTAACATGGGCCGACCCGCCGGGTAGGGGTTGCGGGGGAATATCACGATAACGTTTATAGTATGCCTGTTTAAGTTAAAACAAACCATACATGTAATATGGAAAATAATACGGGTACATGTATAATAGTCAACACTCTACAGGTATATCACACAGCGCAAATAAACAACGGTAAAAAAAGTCAACACTCTACAGGTATATCACACAGCGTAAATAAACAACGTTAAAATAGTCAACACTCTAAAGAACGCTAAAAACATTCAACGCTATAAAGAGTCGACACTCTAAAACAACGCCAAAAACTGCGCTATAAAGAGTCGACACTCTAAAACAACGCCAAAAACATTTAACACTCTAAACGTAAAATGTTCGTGTATCGGGGGAAATATTATTGATAAATATCAACAAATAGGCCTGTATTATAAACAAATAGGCCTATATTATCAACAAATAGAACTATATTATCAACAAATAGGTCTACATTATCAATAAATGGGCCTATATTATAAACAGATAGGCCTATATTATCAATAAATGGGCCTATATTATAAACAGATAGGCCTATATTATCAATAAATAAATAGTCCTATATCAGTAGGGGAATATAAGACAAATATTGTCTATAAACAAATTCACAAATATTGTCCATAATAAATTCACAAATATAGTCCATAAATAAATTCACTAATAGTAATTCAGTCTCTAAAATGATATCCGTCTTCATTAGGTACAGCTATATCGTTAATAATTATATCATCGTCATATTGAACACATTCTGATAAAACTAAACTAACTTTTACCGTTATATCACCGAATATTCGCTGTGATTGCTGTATCAAACGATCTCGTACTCCGCGCTTCGTCTCCTCCGCTTCGTCTCTTTCGATCGGTAAAGATAAAAATGTATGACTGTGTTTTGAACTTTCTAAAAATTTCCATCGTATAACTTCTAACTGAGTTCTACTCATCAAACCTGCGCCCAGGGGAACACCGTTTAATAACCGCGGTAATATTCTATAACACGAGTTTGGTACTTCCGTTTCACTGTAGACGTTCTTGAAACTTATTTGTAATAAGAAACACTTTCTACCGTCGTCCAACTTAGCCTGGGTTTTCACCATAACATTGGCTTCTTGTGCTGAAATCGTAAACTCCGATATCGTCGACATTTTGATAGATCCGTTAATAATACGCCGTCTGTTCACAGTTGATTGATTCTGGGGTTCGGTGAGGTGGGGAATAGTTCGAATTTCATTCCACGCAGCCAGCTTAAGTTTTGATGTAAGCAACCTCGTCTCAAATTTCCAAACCACTTCGTCTCAAAACAGCAACTTCGTCCTTGAAGTGTTCTAATAGTTTTAGCAGGCGAGTATAACTCGTGTTTATATGCAGCTGTAGTTTTCTTGTATACACTGTTATAAGACAAGCAAACTACATCTATACTATCATTACATACAGACACATTGCTATATATATATAAATATAACGGGCACCTGCTATTACGCGTGTGTGCTATATATATACCTATAGAGATATACCACGTAACTAGGTATTGTTTACACCTTACAATATAACCCACATTATTACAAATTCCACGTATAATATCCCTTTAAGCTACTTCAGCTCAGCCTTCTCTATAGATCAGTAGGTTTTAACAATGGCTTGGGTCTAAATCAACATATATATACATGTATATAAGACGATCTTATTTATAATCACTACGATTAAGCCACTTAACTATTTAATCTGTTAATCTGTTTAATTATGCAAATCGTATCGTGTTATCATATGATCAGAAATTAATAGTTAGTCATGAAATTAATTAGGGTTTAACGTCCTACTGTTCTGCACCGATTTGGCTAATGAAGTCACGCATACGCCATACAGTGTGCTATGAGGGAAATTTTGTACTCATATTTTGGATTTTAACTGTCTAGGGTTCTTTTACGTGCACGCCAATAGGTACACGTAATAATTGAATTTAATTCGTTTGTTCAGGTTTCCCAGCGTGTAGGCTGTATCATAAGGTCTGTCATTGAGTCAACTGGCGTGGTTTCGATTCCCCGGTTATACGTGACAAGGAGTAGGGTCGCCTGTCCAACCTCGTGGGTTTTCTCCGGGTCCTCCCACTGCTAAAGACCCTTACACGCATGCGAATTATTGAAATAAAATTGAACCATGTGTTCAAATGACCTAGTTTGTGTCGAGTGGACGTTATGTAACATGACAAAAACTCAGACTGAGGCGGACTAGCGTCGATCTAGTCCTCCGAACTGTACACAAAATCGAACGTAAATGTCAAAAATCCTGGAAACATAAGCAAACGAACAAGGGAATGTGTGTGTGTGTGGGGGGGGGGGCCTAATTATCGGGCAATCTGACTTTTCAGGCAGTGAAAACAATTTCATTTAGTTGGCAAAATACAGTGCCCGAAATCTAATAAAACACTAATTTTACTTTTCTTTTAGGGGGGTTGGATGGTTGAATGGTTAGCACGTGCGCGCTGTATCATAAAGTCTGTCATTGAGTCAACTGGCGTGGTTTCGAATCCCCGGTTGTACGTGACAAGGAGTAGGGTCCCCTGTCCAACCTCGTGGGTTTTCTCTGGGCCCTCCGGTTTCCTCCCACTGCTAAAGACCCCTAGGCGCAAGCGAAGTATTGAAATGAAATTGAACCATGTTAGTCCCGAAATGATCTAGTTTGTGGCGAGTGGACGTTAAACCCCATTTCTCTCCCTCCCTTTTCTTTTAATTGAATACCACGAATTTGTTCCGTATTGGCTGTGGATTAAATGTGGGTTAACGACACGTCCTCTGCACCAACAGACGTAATGAAGACGGACAAACGCCATGCGTTGACGAGATATTAAAACAGCATTTCATTCCAGATCGAACATTTTGTCTAAAAAAAACCAAGAGCTCCGCTATGTATAAAATTGGGCGCACGGGAAAAAATTATAAGCAATGCAAGGGAGGTAACTACAGTTTTACAATACCAAATTCTCTGACGATAAAGAAAGAGAAAATAAGCTTACTAAGGTTATAGAAACTTGTGTATTTTCTTTTATCTGTCCTTGCAAGGCAGATACAAGATGATCAAAAATTAAAACTTTACATTAGAATATTCGATGTATGGTGGAAGAAATGGCTGAACCAAAATAAAGGGACAGGTGAAAGGAATCTTCATTTTTCTATAGTTTAGAGAAATGTTACTTTCATTTTCTTTCTTTTATTTTCAATTGATGTTTTTTTTTTATTTCATGATGGGAAATTTCGTTAATTTTATTTTATAATATTATACGCCGGGTGGTAGCCCAGCTAGTAAAGGTCTATAAGAAACCCTGCGGACTATTATAAGAGTGGTGTAATTCGGTCCATTCGCGGATGAATATTTGACACAGTTCGGTGATTGAGGCGAGAATCTGTAAGTATCGCTAATACCAACGTAATTTCTTTCTTATTTTCTCGTAATATACATTTCTTGTTCCATCAACACCCAAATCCTTATACCGACGATCTCTTAATTGTTCAATTCTGCGGGTTAACAGGCAAATTCTTGTAAATTGAGGTTGCGCAGTCGCAGTACTTGTACCCATTATGGTTGTGAAAAAAAAATGTCCTTGCTCAGCGTTTGAGATCAACATCTCCGAGTTCGATCTTCTTTAGACAGCCATTGTTGATAATAGCTAACTAGGTGTGTTGTTAATTCATTCCATTAGAAGGTTGATGGTTCGAGAAAAAAAATATTTTCCAATCGCGGCTCCCCTATTAATTTCCAACACGAGCCTCCAGAAGTTTCGGGGGACTTGCCCAGCTCTTTGTCCCCATGTGCGCGCAAACTCAAGCGCAGACGCACAAACTTACGCATGTACGACTGAACTTGCGCAGTCAGATCTTCAGGGTGGATAGAAGATTGCAGACGATTTAATTTCGTCCATTCTATTAGTTAAATTCGTGCACATTTGTTAGATAATGTTAGAATTCCCCAAATCAAAGATGGCCATTGCCACATTGTACGTCATGACCAACATCAATATGGCGACCATGTTTACACATAAATTATCTCCCACCAGTTTGCTAGACGTTGTCGTTGTTTTAGATGCACAACTGGTGTGGCAACTGAGGTAATTTTAACGGGAATGAAATAAGGCTTTAAACAATAATAACTATGGGGCCTGTTTAGTATGATAATAAAATTAGCCTTTTCAATAGGACAACAAAAATCTGAGTGCAAAAGCCAAGTGACTTATTCAAATGAATACACAACACACATTCCTGCACATCTCTGTAGTACCATAGCCTATCCTATACATAGTTTAGGCCCTAATAATAGTAAGTGGCAATTGAAGTGCAGGCGAACGCAACTACATGTAATTCTAAAAAAAAAAACCCCAAAAAACAAACAAATAAGACAAAGCTGCGAACAAGATAAGCCACAAAATAATTGCAAGAAATAAACAATCAATAAATATCAAATCTAGTGAATGAAATGATATGAAATAGAATGGGGTTTAACATCCTCCTACTGTTCTGCTGCGACTAGACTAATGAAGATGGGCATCCGCCATACAGTGTTCGAATTCCAACTGTCAAAGGATATTTTACATGCACGCCAATGTGTACTCGGGACCTCGGTTTTTAATCCTCTCTAAATGACTACACAGCTGTCCTTGTCAGGCACTGACAATGCCTGACAAGGGGGAATCTAGATGAACTTTCTCTGTCAATGCAGGGATCAAACACCCGACCTCCAGGCTAGCGAGCCAGCATCTAAGCTTGCACTGTGATCCCCCTTGTGTGAATGTAACACAGACTCCACTCAAAATGGAAATAAATGGAAAACGTAATGCAGCCTCACCTATTTTTTTCTGAGTGGGGATAGTCTGCCTGTTGACGTCATGAGTGCGAACCTCAAAGTCAAAGAATTTTAGGGGGTATTATTGAAGATAAGATGAAGAGCTGGCAATTTTTACTATAATAGTTAAAAAAAACTAGATAATGTAGTAAAGAGAATATATGCTAAAATTTTCACTCAAATTGATCCACTCTGAACCAAGATATTAGCGATTGAATTTTAGGCCTAGCCTCAATAAAAAAAACATAATCTTGCTTATCCATTTTTGCATTTAATCATCAGCCTTGAGCAGCAGTCGGATTTGAATCCTGTGAAAATCGAACACATAAGATGGCATCGAGAGTTGATTAAGGTCTTTTTATGTTAATTAATGTCTAATTAATAATTTATATAACATTTCAGGCCTAAAGAAAGGCCTGCAATAGGCAGATTTAGCTCTTGTATAATGTAGGTTTAATTGGGATGGCATTTTGGCAAATGCTAAAATTTAATAAATAAATTTAAATTTTAGTTGCTGCACAAACAGGAGCAAAGTCCAACAACGAGAAATACTTGAATTTCCTAGTACCTGTACAGAAATCCTGACCGGTAATTCAGTAACTGCTTTTCAATCAAGAATTTACCTGTAATTTTGTATAATCATATTTTTAAGGTAACTTACGTATGAGTAGGCCTGCTTTAAGTTCTTAGCCAGTCCGGTGGCCTATTTAGAATCTTGTTGTAAATGTTTCAGTTTGTAGAACCCTCAAACGACGAAAATTATAATTTGTTCTATATAAAATTATCTTGAAAATACCCCCAATTACCTACAAAAGAATAAATATGCGAAAACCTTTGTCGACTGCTTGGACGATATAGCTGCTGTGGGCGTATGTTTTGTTGTGTGGCAACCTATCTTTAGATTGTGAACCCTCTAACTGTTTTCTGATTTCATTGAAACTTAAAATAATATGTTTATATCCCAAAGATTTTGGTTCTTTTCGATATTACTGCAGATCGGACTGGGACTTATGACCCCTTATAGTACAAAAAATCCCTTTTTTTTTGAGCTTGTTCTCTGTCTATCTCTTGCAAAATGTGGGCAGATATCTTGCCCGTCAACCGTTTGTTTTATTTCAGACTCGCTAGCCTAGATGTCGGGTGTTCGACCCCTGTATTGGCAGAGAAAGTTCATCCAGATTTTCCGGCGTGGTTTCCCCTTGTTAGTGATGTTGGCCGGCTTGCCTGACAAGAATAGCTGTCTAGTCGTTCCAATGGTACGGAAAACTGGGGTCCTGTGTGCGCATTGGTGTGCACGTAAAAGTTCCCTTGAAACGTGGAATTTGATATAAGATTAGGCCATAGTGCAGCTGTCCGGGCAAAATTTCCCTTATAGAACACTGTATGGCGTATGCCCGTCTTCATTAGTCCAGTTCGGAGCAGAACGGTAGGACATTAAATTTGATTTGATTTTATTTCAGATTTTATATAAGAACTAGTCGGATGAATACAAAGCGATATGATGATGAACGTACACAGTCTGTCAAATAGTATTTCTATCAATACATCCCAGCTTAACGCTACCATGATGGACGATGACATCAGTGATCCAAGCTCCCCGGAGAGTACTTTTGATGCATCTGAGCTACTGCATGGTTCCGTGTCAGATGAAGTAACAGCTCAACTAGCAGCAGCAGGTAAGCATCATATAAAGATGTAGGTATGACAAGTCTAATCCCTGCCTAGATTTGAACCTGTGATTTGTGTAGAAGATGTAAATGCTATCCAATCAGGGGATTGGATGGCCGAATGGTTAGCACGTGCGCGCCGAATCATTAGGCCTGTCATTGAGTCAACTGGCATGGTTTCGAATCCCCGGTTGTACATGACAAGGAGTAGGGTCGCCTGTCGAACCTCTTGGGTTTTCTCCAGGTCCTCCGGTTTCCTCACACTGTTAAAGACCCCTACCTGCAAGCGAATTATTGAAATAAAATTGAACCATATGTTAGTCCCGAAATTACCTAGTCTATACTGATCATTGTCTCCTAGTGGGTTCCTCCTGTGTAAGGATATTCACCGCCCAATCTAGCTGTCTTTATAATCCTGTTTTTGTACATAGTTCATTACTACCCACCCTTATGGCATCCCATCCGTTTGATGGTATCTAACTGATTGTATAAATGTTTATCTTTGTTCCAAATTTTGTATATCTATCCTCATTGTACTATGGTTGACATTCTTTGCTTGATAAAGACAGGATAACCCTCGTCGAAACATCGCTGTAATAAACCCTTCACGTAACTTAAGAGTCACGGTTGCTAAGCGGGTAGGAAGCTAGCTGACTAGCCTGAAGGTCGGGTGTTCGATCCCTGCATTGGCCGAGAAAGTTCATCAGGATTTTTCAATGTGGTTTCCTTTTGTCAGTGATGCAGAAAGGAGGGTCTGACAAGAACAGCTCTCTAATCGTTCGGATAGGACAAAAAAACGGATGTCCCGTGTATACATTGGCCTGCACGTAAAGGATCCCTTGGCGGTTGGAATTCGATATAAGAGTAGGTCATAGTGCCGCTGCCCGAGCAAAATTTCCCTCATAGCATACTGTATGACGTATGCCCGTCTTTATTAGTCTGGTTCGGAGCAGAACAGTAAGTTGTATTCCATGTAATTGTGTCATGTGTCACAAAAATCATGGTTTAATAGTCCTAGAAAGTAGGCCTATAGCCCTGCAATATTTCCATTTTAGCAGATGACAATTGTCCTTAGCGAGTGATCATAGATATTATTCAAAATTTGAACCACTACGTAAAATGTAGTTTAAATTATTATATTCTATCTTAAATTATTTTTAGGAACAGTGGGAATAGCTGCAGCAGCTGCCATAGCAACCGGACGAAGAAAGGGCCATCCACACCAATTCGAAACAAATCCATCAAGACGAAAGCGGCAACAGACAAGATTATTACGGTAAATTTTAATCGTCAGCTTAAAGAAATGTCCTATCCTATGTAATCTGGCAGATGCATGTCTTTATTAGCCCAGTCGGACATTAAACCCCATTTTCTATGTTGGGGGGGGGGGGGGTGGTTAGCACGAGTGAGCTGTATCATACGGTCTGTCATTGAGTCAACTGGCAGGGTTTTGATTTCTCGGTTGTACGTGACAAGGAGTAGGGTCGCCTGTCCAACCTCGTGGGTTTTCTCCCTGGTCCTACGGTTTCCTCCCACTGCTAAAGACCCTACGCACAAGCGAGTTATTGAAATGAAATTAAACCATATGTTAGTCCCGAAATGACGTAGTTTGTGTCGAGTGGACGTTAAACTCTCTCTCTCTCTCTCTCTTTTACAGCCATTAGCCCAAGACTTGGCAGATAAACAATTGTCTTATCCTTCGACTGTATAATATCCATTATGAAATGGGATAACATTTCAAAGCACCTCTTGGTCTGGGCCCTCACGGTACAAGTGACGTTCAGACTATCGAGTCAGCGCCTTACCCGCTTAGTCACTGTGGTTCCCCCTATAGTATTAGAGTTGTTAACATGTTGTTTGTTATTATAGAAAATTAAAGAATACTATAGAAGAATATACAACACGTGTCGGACAACAGGCAGTTGTTTTATGTTGTACACCTGGACGACCCAATAGTTCAAACAGTTCATTTAAAGTTTTTGGATCTCAACCCCTAGAAAACGTGGTAAGTTTTTGGGTATCACCAACGAGAAAGCGTAAGTTTTTGGATATCAGCTTCTAGAAAACGTAAATTTTTGGTTTGGATATCAGCCCCTATAAAACGTAATGTTTTGGATATCAGCCTCTAGAAAAGGTAAGTTTTTGGATATCAGCCCCTAGAAAAACGTAAGTTTTGGGATATCGGCCATTAGAAAACGTAAGTTTTGGGATATCAGCCCCTAGAAAACGTAATTTTTTGGATATCAGCCCCTATAAAACGTAACGTTTTGGATATCGGCCTCTAGAAAACGTAAGTTTTTGGATATCAGCCCCTAGAAAATGTAAGTTTTGGGATATCGGCCTTTAGAAAACGTAAGTTTTGGGATATCGGCCCCTAGAAAACGTAATTTTTTGGATATCAGCCCCTATAAAACGTAAAGTTTTGGATATCGGCCTCTAGAAAACGTAAGTTTTTGGATATTAGCCATTAGAAAAACGTAAGTTTTTGGATATCAGCCTCTAGAAAACGTAAGTTTTTGGATATCAGCCTCTAGAAAACGTAAGTTTTTGGATATCAGCCTCTAGAAAACGTAAGTTTTTGGATATCAGCCCCTAGAAAATGTAGTAAGTTTTCGAATCTCGGCCCCTAGAAAATGATATTTATATATTTAGAATTTTTATCGCTTTATATTTAATTTGGTTAAAACTGAATATGAGGCAAGAAGTTTTGGGAAAGCCCTAGAAAATGTAAGTTTACTGTTTATATGGTTGTGGACATCATTAGTGTGGTTCAACCATATTCTAAATAACTCACATTCAGCTCATGTTCTGACCTTGATCAGCTGATCTTCTGTTGATCTTCTTCCCCATATAGCCCATTTGGCTTCTTCAGAATGAGAATTTTCTTGTGCATCTTCTCATCTGGTTGTATTTCTAAGCCAATAAAAAGAGGTTTTATAGATACTGTTTCAAAATGTTGTACAGTGCACTCTGTCACATCCGACATTGTACGGGATCGTTACAATATGTCGGATTATGCAGAGTGTCGGAATACCCAGTTTTCTCAAAACCGGAAATATTGTAACTTCGAAAACCGGAAGTATTATAATGTAGCTTCGAACATAGAACTTCGAATCACCAGAATGTTATTCCCTTTAAAGATGATAAACCTTTCTGTACATTCAAAATTTTATTACGTTAATTTTTATTTCATTTAACATGCGTAGGCATTTTGAATAGGTCAAATCTGTCGTTAATTTATCTTCTTCGCCGTCTTCAGTTGATCGCACTCTTGTCTTTGCTATCACGTGTTCATTGATAATGGGCGTACTCGATTGAACGTTCCGGAATTGAATTCTCTCAATCCCAAAAATAATGACAATCAAGTGAAAATGGGTACTTCTGGCCACAACGCATTCGTCGACTGGATATATAAATATCTCATCCAACCATGCAACCGAAACCTGTTCGTCGTGTTTAATTACTTCACAATTCTACTCACACCACCTCCGTCGTCGGGACTGACAGAACTGTGACAGACTTAATTCCGCGTCACTCGATTGCAATTCTGTCAATTTGGGACATTCCGAACTGTGACTCTAGCATCCCCAGGTCGTCGTCAAACGGTTCGAAGAGATACGTAGGGTGACAAAACTTATACGTTATTCACGTTCGTTATTCAGGTTCAATCGGCATGCGCAACAAATGTTTCCAACAGGTGCTAGGAATATTTTTACGACTGTGAATTCGGAGAAAAATTTGTGGATATTCTTGATTATTCGTCACAACTGTCGTACAAGAGATTAAAATTATCAAAGTAATCAACAAAGACCCACGTTAGCGAGTTTTAATCTCGCAGATAATTGATTGGTGATTGCTTGTTAATCTTTTGTGGCTTCACACCCATCCAATTTTAATCTCACGGATAATTGATCGGCAAGTGTTTGCTTCACACCTACCGATTGAAGGCCGGATTATACGGTGTCGATTCAATGGAAATTGTATGATGGGACAGCTGATTGATGTCGTAATCCGGAACGTACAGAGGTTGGATTACTCAGAGATTTTTTGGCTGAAGTAATAAGGAAATAAATCGGGACATTAAAATGGTGCCGGATGTAACAGAGTGCCGGAGTGATCAGAGGTCGGATGTGACAGAGTGCACTGTATATGGGGTGTTCCAAAGTAAAAAATTATTAAGAAGAGCAAAAATGTCGTATTTTCTTGAAAAAAATCAACTTTGTATCTAACCAAAGCATTACAGTCGAACGGAATATAGCCAGTATTGTTTTATGGTTAAATACATATTATTGAAATTATTGTTGAGCCTCTACTGTGTGAAATCTATGAAATTGAAGCAGGTAAAGGTGAATATTTTCCTGAGATATACGTCTTTGCTGTATAAAATTACAAATAACTAGCTTTCACTTCTTATTTCTGCATTAGATGTTGATCATGATATGTGCGGATACATACTGTTTAAATAGCTACAAATACATTTTGTACATAAATATTTGGGAAAAGCTTAAAAAATACGACATTTTACATACAACATTTTGAGGTGACGGTTTTATAAGACGTTTTGATTCTTAACCTCTGCTATTTTTGAGTCTCCTGGACAATTTTGCGAAATCCAGATACTACCTTTTGACTCCCCACCGACGATATTGTTATATTATTCAACCAGTGTATAGAAATATTTTATTGATGTATTTCAGATAAAGAGTACTAAAGCAGCTGTGATGCAAGATCTAGAAGCCATGTTACAACAAGAAGCTCCACAGACTGGTGTTGATACGTCACATTTACATGAGTTACCTCCCTTAGTTATTGATGGAATACCAACTCAAGTTGATAAAATGACTCAGGTATGTTACAGTTACTTCCCTTGTTAATATAGAGCAATGCGCTAAAGCATCGCGTCAAGTGTGGTGTTTGAGCAAAGTTCTTTTCTGGTAATACACGAGTGTAACTGAAACTGTCACTTACATACTGTTGACTTAAAAAAAAAAATTCAGACCGAAACTGGCAATGCGCATGTCAGCGTACCAAGCGAGATTAGGCGTCTCATAGGAATAGTTCTATGACGCATCTAATCAATGACATCACATAGTTTTGACGTCAATGTTACAGTTACTTCCCTTGTTAATACATGATGTAATAGTGGCATCAGACAAGAACATTCAACCTCCGGGGGGTTGGATGGCTGAATGGTTAGCGTGCGCGCGCTGTATCATAAAGTCTGTCATCGAGTCAACTGGCGTGGTTTCGAATCCCCGGTTGTACGTGGCAAGGAGTAGGGTCGCCTGTCCTACCTCGTGGGTTTTCTTTGGGTCCTCCGGTTTCCTCCCACTGCTAAAGACACCTACGCGCAAGCGAATTATTGAAATAAAATTAAACCATATGTTAGTGCCGAAATGACCTAGTTTGTGTCGAGTGGACGTTAAACCCCTTCTCTCTCTCTCTCTCACATTCAACCTCTACATGACTACACTTTAACATAGAAATTGAAATAAATTGAACCATATGTTAGTCCCGAAATGACCTAGATTATGTTGAGTAAACATTAAACACCATTTCTCTCCCTCTCTTGTATTGCTTATACACGTCTTCATTAGCCCAGTCTGTGCAAGATAGTAGACCGTTGAACCCCATTTCATAAACTGGGGACTGTTTCATGAAATTTTAACTAAGATAAAATCCAAATTTTAGTAATTTGATTGGATAATATTAGATTGATTTTAGTGCTTAGCCAATCAAAACCGAAGAACCTACTAAAATTTGGATTTTATCTTTAGTTAAGATTTCAAGAAACCGGGCCCTGAACATTGTTTTATATGGTAATATTTTTATTTTCAGGCCCAGTTACGTAACTTTATACCGGAGATGTTGAAATATTCTACAGGTCGTAGTAAACCTGGTTGGGGTAAACCAGAATGTCGTCCTGCGTGGTGGCCAGTTGATCTACCCTGGGCTAATGTCAGATCTGATGCTAGATCGGACGAAGAGAAAAAACGAGTAAGTTCCTTATTTGGTTATAGTTTTTATGTATATGTTTATTGTCATCACCCCAGGACATCTATCGTTTCACATTTTCTTTGTGCACACTATCCAGGTCAGTTTATATCCAATAATGACCAAGATATATAGGTTTTTATCCCAAACATCTCTGTTTCTTTCCATATTCTTGTGTGTCAGGCCTTAACTTCCTGGATTATGGCGAAAAATTGCATTTTTAGCTTATGTTTTCATGTGGGGGGGTTGGATGGCCGAATGGTTACCAAGTGCGTGCTGTATCATAAAGTTTGTCATTGAGTCAACTGGCGTGGTTTCGATTCCCGGTTGAACGTGACAAGGAGTAGGGTTTCTAATGGATTACCCACAGTTCCTTGCGCCTCACGCCAAAATCGCACCATAACAGACCCGTTTCATTGGCTAATACCTCATATTATCCAGAACATGTCAATGATAACAACTCTTCCAGATCTTAGTGTACTAAATTCAAGTAAAAACGAAATTTTGAACTCTAAAAAACGAAACGAAATAGGATCTGTGTTTTAATGAGATTGGATAAATATATATGTTGTTTCACTCTTGTCAACAGGTTTCATGGACGGAAGCATTACGTACTATTGTAAAGAATTGTTATAAACATCATGGCCGTGAAGATTTATTGAGTGTATTTAATGAAGGTGTTGTACAACAAGCGACGGTTAATTACGCCAGTACCATGTATCAAACTATCAATAATCCAGATGGTACTGTATCGATTATACATATAGAAACTGGTCCTAATGGTAATCCCGTTGTAACTTTACCTGATGGTACACAAGCTACTGTCGTACATGCGGTAAGTAAATATTATTTTTATTTTTTTATATATAAACAATATTTTATTCAGGAAGTTGGAATGGTTTTGGGGAAGAGGCTTAGCCTATTTAAAACCCCTCTCCCTATAATTTATATAAACAATATTTTATTCAGGATGTCTGAATGGTTTTGGGGAAGAGGCTTAGCCTATTTAAAACCCCTCTCCCTATAATACACAGTATGTATTATAACTTCAAGGGGAAGTATAACTTGTTTTTATTTCAAATTATCTGAGCTGCTCCCACAAAACCAGGCTCTTGGTCATTTTTATAAAAATAGATCTGGTACTATATTTGAATAGTCCACAGCCTAAGCTTTCCAAAAAATGCAATTCTTTTTAAATTTGTCGTATCATCTGGAATTGAGTTCGGCTCATTCACAGCAACAAGAAGGTATACAGTTTATGCTTTTGTGTCTGTAGTACAAAATAATGTTGTGCGACAAGCGCCTGGTTTCGTGGGAGCGGTCACATATAAAGAATGAAAAAGTCTCTTTAATTACCGAATGTTAATGTTACTGGATAATGCTACATAAGATAAATGTTACTGGATAATCATACACTCCTATAATTGTTTATAAGAAGTCATTTAGTCCCGTAGAGACACAAAAATCTGTCTACCACATCTGATATTTTAGCAAGAATCGTCTGAAAACCAGAATATTTTTTTTTCTTATTCATGACCCAAATATGTAAATTTTTGTATTGTAAATTTCATACACTTGTTTGATTCTTATTTGACTGTGAGCACCTGTGAAAATGATACAGAATAAAGTTAGCAAAGGATTAATGTAAAACTTGGTAGGAATTTGTATAAGAGGCAAAATGAGGTATCTGAAAAAAAATCTGAATTTTTCAGTAGTGTTTGTTGGAGTTATTCCCCCTGCATATTAATATTTACAATGTTCTCATAATTGATAAGATTATTCATTGAAACTTAGGGAGAAGTCCCCCCATTGAATTTCTTCTTCAGATCATTGTGCAGTTAATTTTCTAGTCACATTTTTAGATAAAACTTGGTGTTGATGTATGTTTAGAGATATGGTCTTGCTGTTTGTGGGTGTATAGGCAAAGTTCGCACACTTCTTGAAACTCCTGGAAAAATAAAAATGTGATTTCCAGTACTGGAAACACAAGATTACTCCTTGAAACTCCTGGAAAACTAACATTTGTGGTTTTGCTATATTTTAAGATATAAAACTGAATGTAGTCATCGAATGTTTCTTCAAAAGTTCACGAGTTCGTTGCCATAAATGTTCTTCAAGCGTAAAAAAAAAAAATACATTATGATGTAGAATTCTATACAGGAACTCCTGGAATCTGGTAAATGACTCCTGGAATATTAAGTGTTCTGACTTGTGCACACCCTGATAGGGGTCCAGGCAAACAACTGTTTATTTCTATCACAATCTGATTAAAACACAGATCCTATTTCGTTTCTTTTTTTGTAGTTCAAAATTTTGTTTTACTTGTCTTCACAACACTAGGATCTTGAACATTACTGTCGTTCTGGTTAATGTGAGGGATAGGTCAATGAAATGCTCTGTTACGGCAACTTCTTGGTGTGCGATGCACGGAACTGTGGGTAAACCACTGGAAACGTCAACACTGATTGATTAATCGTTGTCTGATGTCATAGGGTCAAAAGTCGCTCGTACGACCCCTGTTGCAACCTCCCAATACAACCGGTCAGATCTTCATGTAGTGTAGGCCATCGAAAGTATAAAAAAAACGAAACGTAATATAGATGTGTATTTTAATGTGTATTGTTTCTATTACGGCTATTTATAAATATTAACGTCACGATTTATTTTATTGATTCAGATACCGGGTCACACACAGCAAGAAGCAACCCAAGCTGTTCAAACATTGGCTGATGTAGCAACTAATCAGGAGATTGGTAATCATATGACACCAGTCAGTGTAGAGATGGCAGATGGACAAGGTGGTGTGGCCACGTTATCAGGGGCTACCATTAATCAGAACGGACAAATTATTCTCACTGGTGATGCTTCTATTGGAGGTGATTATTTATTTATTGTTGGGGGGTTGGATGACTGTGCGCTCTGTATCATAAGGTCTGTCATTGAGTCAACTGGCGTGGTTTCGATTCCCCGGTTGTAGGGTCGCATGTCTAACCTCGTGGGTTTTCTTTGTGTGCTCCGGTTTCCTCTCACTTCTAAAGACCCCTACACGCAAGTGAATTATTGAAATAAAATTGAACTATATGTTAGTCCTGAGTTTGTGTCAGTGGAGGTTAAACTCTCTCTCTCTCTCTCTCTCTCTCTCTCTCTCTCTCTCTCCCTCCCTCTCTCTCTCTCTCTCTCTCTCTTAATTAGCTTGGTAATACTTTAAAATCCCATGTCAAATCATTCATTCATATGGTGAACTAGATTGACCAGTCTCCAATACCGTATTGAGTAGTATGATTTTCTGTGTTTTCAACTAGCAAAAATACAAAATAAGCAGCTGAAAATAATCAAATCCAGCTTATATCTGTACACCTGAAATAAACTGGTGAGAGGTAGGCCTACAATCAATCGATGCTTGTCGTTCTATTATGATTAATTATTTGCCTAGTTTTACACGATTCTATGTGTGAACTGGAATTATGGGCTACAACTATTGCTGCCACGATATATTGTTCAATCAATGTGTCACGATTCACCTTCTCACGATTGCATATTGAATCATGAGACTTTGAATCAATGTTTCACGCTTCTTTTTTATGTTTTTACGCTTCAATAAGTAACCTGTCACTCTTAATTAACCATGTCATATATTATCTATAGGTACACAAACACTCTTAAATTGTTTTGGTCCTTATTTGGATCCACATCGTGATATAAAACATAGCCATCCTGTTGTGTTCTTGGTAAATATTGACGTGGTCATGCATCGTGACACGAATCGTATACTAGCACCTGAATAGCAATACACATCGTAGCACTTGAATAGCAATACATATCGTATTGTGACTGCAGTGGCAAATTAAATGAAATGAAATGATATTTTTCTGTTGTAGGTATAGTGACCATTCCTGCTTCAGTTTACCAGACAGTGGCTACAAGTTTAGCATCAATAACAGATGGCGTTCAACAAAACGTTCAAGTTGCTATGGCACCAATAACATTAAAAACAGAAGTTCCCGATGCCACTCAGGCCGTGGAAGTTTCATCAATGGACCAATCGCAGATTACCCGTAATGCAACGTGACGGAGATGTGTCATGTGACATTTTGTTAAATAATTTACAAATCATGTTTCAAGTGTTGATGTTAAATTCTAGTTTTGGACATGTTTTATTTCATGTGGTTTTCCTGTAGGAGTTGCTGCTGGCATGAATGGTGCTGGTGCACCAAGATTCTATACAATCTGACGAAAGTTGATTCGCATGGATGATGAATGGTGCACCAAGATTGTATACAAAATGCTGAAAGTTGATACGCAGTTTATACGCGTGGATGATGAAGGTCGAACAAGGTTCTATATGAAGTACAAGATGACATCGAGTTGATACGCGTCTGTGAACTAACAGATACGTACGTGCAAGAGTTACAGAATCGTATCTAGACATTATTTGAGAAATCCTCCAATACTGAAATACTGTGAACATTAAATTAAAGGAGTTTAAGTTGTGTGAAAAAAACCATCATAGAGACTTTAATTATAAAGCAGTAGATTGATATATGAAAACCAGCCATCTTCAGTTGTGTACAGATAGTCTCATCCTTCACCCCACATTACATGGACAGTGTTGATTAATGAGAGAGAGAGAAATGGGGTTTAAAGTCCACTGGACACAAACTAGGTCATTTCAAGACTAACATATGGTTCAATTTTATTTCAATAATTCGCTTGCATGTAGGGGTCTTTAGCAGTGGGAGGAAACCGGAGGACCAGGAGAAACCCCATGAGGTTGGACAGGCGATCCTACTCCTTGTCACATACAACCGGGGAATCGAAACCAGACCAGTTGACTCAATGACAGACCTTATCATGTAACATGCACATGCTAACCATTCGGTCACCTTGATTAATAGAGTTATATACTCCAGGTGTGAGGGGCGGGGGGAGGATCCACTGGTTTTCATGCAATACTAAAGACCCCTACACAGAAGCAAATTATTGGAATAAAATTGAACCATATGTTAGTCAAGGGAACGTTAAACCCCATTTAACTCACGCATTCTCGTCTAGGTGTTTTATCACATGACATTTGATTGAGGGAACATGTCACATGATGCTCTCGTATTAGTTGATATTCGTGAATCTTCCGTCAAAACGTCCCTGAATATTAATCTATTTATACAGCGTTGTAGAAATCCTCACAAATTAAATGCCACTGACAGTTTCTGCAAGATAAAATGCAGTTTGTGGAAAAATATTTAAAATTGAAATGGGGGTTCAATGTCCTAATTGACCCAATTTCGTTGATAAAAAACAGTCTTGCCAAATATGAAGTATATGTGTGGTGATTACAGTCATAAGCATTAATTTTTTAACTTTATAGTTGATCAATATTCTCTCATCGTAAACCATAGGATAATAATAGTGTGTTTGATTCATTGTGACCCTCAGACAGGACAGTTGAAACAGCAGTTCAGGGTCTGTTTGATTCACTGTGGCAGGACAGTGGGAACAGGAATTCAGGGTCTGTTTGATTCACTGTGACAGGACAGTGGGAACAGGAATTCAGGGTCTGTTTGATTCACTGTGGCAGGACAGTGGGAACAGGAATTCAGGGTCTGTTTGATTCACTGTGACAGGACAGTTGGAATGTTCAGTGCATGTTACAGTTCCACTCTGTGACTTATTAAAGTAATATAAACATTAGTTTATTGTTTAATATTATTCACCAGATGTTTTAAAATATACTTTTATTATTTATCATTGACCTGTCAATATAAACCATGTCACACTGATCAGCAGTGAATATTCGCTAGGCCGCGACAATCACTGATAAGGATGACATTGATGCGACTTAATGAGCCACAAATATTAACTCTTGTCCTTTGACAAATTAAATTCTAAAACATTTTTTTTTATGTATTAGAAAAATAAATAAAGACGTTTGAAGTATTTGTAGGTAAAAATTATTTCCTATTTTAGTGTAAATGGGTATTAAAATGAGTAAACGGTGCCATTCTGTTCGAATCAGTAACGTCTTATGTAAATGCAGGTGCCATTGAGCCAATGATTTACGTCGCTTGATATTAGGTCATGTGTTGAAGGCAGTCATCTTTTACAGAGATATTAGATGATTTTCGTAATACTCTGTGACCTTGTCACATGACCACACAATGACGAAATGACAAATGAATACATGTGATGTAAGGGAAGTAATAAATATGTGAGTAGCTGACATATTTTCAGCCTAGATAAAAACCTCCAGAAAACTCATTTCTCTCTCTCCAATCTTTTGTTAGGCCACAGAGTTCACAAAGCATTCTCACACTTAAGTTAAGAATTTACCCAACTTTTAATCACTGTTTATGAGAAATATATTTGATCCACAAACACGAAAAATAGCATAAAGTTCCTCATTGATGTATTTGATACATTAAAACAACAAAAGTTTTATAAAGGGCTATATTTTAGTTAAAATAAGGTGAACAATTTTGAGTAAATTCTTAACTGAAGTCCGAGAATATTTTGTGAACATGGGTCCTGAATGTATCAATAATAACAGATTTTAATGGCGGAACTTAACATCTATTTACAAGTACTCCAATCGAAACTGGCAATCTATTGTCATCACAGACCTAGGACTATATTAAACATACATTATTCAAGAGCTAAATCTGTCTATTGATGGTCTTTCTAAAGGCCTGAAATGTTATATAAACTATTAATTAGACATTTATAAACTCATTCAGACCATAATTGACTTTTTCGATTTCATCTTATGTGTAGGATTTTCACTGGATTGGAATCCATGACTGCTGCTCAATGCTCATTGATGATTAAATCAAAAATTGGATAATCGAGACTATGTTTTTTATCGGACCGACTTTAGTAATGATGATCGAGTATAGGCTTAAAATATTTAAGATAATATCTCGGTTCAGAGTGGAGCAATTTGACCAAAATTTTCAAACATCTTCTATTTACGTTATCTATTTTTTAACTATTATAGCGAGAACTTTATCTGATCTCCCATGTTTAATATGATTAATACAATGTGACGTCATCTGTTTACGTTATCTATATTTTAACTATAATAGCGAGAACTTTATCTGATCTCCCATAATGCATGTTTAATCATAGTGATTAAATAACCAGGTTTTCACATTGTCGGATATTTTTATGTTGATATAAGTGGATGTATATTTATCCCAATAATTTAAGAAAATGGCTGTTTGTCATGTACGAAATTAACCCAATGCTTGATTTAGACGATGAGTGGTTCTCCGAATACTTCACGCTTGCAAAATACAAGTGTCTTTTAAACAAAATTGAGCTAAGTCCAGTATGGTGGACATGTAAGACTCCTGTGGGACTATATTAATATTATTTATATTGGGCCAAGCCGTTTGTTCTTCTGTTCTTCCAGGTCCTGATCAAACAAATAGCCACTTGAAATATATTAAATTATTTTTTTTAAAATTTCATAACTTTGAAGGAAAAGCTTTTGAACAGAACTTTTGGTTTTTAATAGTCATTTACCTGAAGATAAGGAAATCTTTACAGGTTTTGCCAAGGGAGAGAACTAGTATGATCTATGAACTACCATGTGACTAGATCAAAGATGGTGTTATTATTATTATTATTTAATGTATGTTCATATTCACCCAGCTGTATATAGAATATTGTTTACTCTTTAACATTTAATAAAATCATATTTAAAAAAAAATATGGCTTGTATATAGGTCAGTTTATAATTTGTTGGTGGAGGGGGGTATTCTTACATCTTGTGTGTGTAGATCAATTTATCACCAGAGGAACTGTTTGTACAGCAAGTCGGGAAGGGGGTGGGGAAGGGGGCTGGTAGCACGCGAGCGCTGAGTCAACTGGCGTGGTTTCGTTTCCCCGGTTGTACATGACAAGGAGTAGGGTCGTCTGTCCAACCTCGTGGGTTTTCTCCGGGTCCTCCTGTTTCCTCCCACTGCTAAAGACCCCTACGCGCAAGCGAATTATTGAAATACAACTGAACCATATGTAAGTCCCGAAATGACCTAGTTTGTGTCGAGTGGACGTTAAACCCCATTTCTCTCTATCTCTCTCCACTATTCGACCAAACAGAATCCAAGAAATTTCCATTTCGGCCCACAATGACAACATATGATCAGGAGAAATAATTATAACAAACTATATATAATAAATGAAATTTAATAATAATAAAAAAACATTGAATAATATTTATAAATAGACATACAAATTGTGAATAATTTTAATGAATAACGTTAATCAATAAAAAGAATCGTGACTGCTGAAACAAAAATGTTCATAAATGGTGTAGTGAGGGTGGGGGTTATTCCACGGCTTCGTAAACTTCTTGGTTGTGAACCGGTTGTTCGTAGTACTCTTGGACCGGACGTTTGGGACTTCGATTATCTCCAGATCTATAGTCTGAAAAAAAAAAAATGAAATGGGGCTTAACGTCCTATTGTTCTGCTCCGAACTGGGCTAATGAAGACGGGCATACGCCATAAAGTGTGCTATGAGGGCAATTGGCCCGGGCAGCGGCACTACGGCCTACTCTTAAATCGAATTTCAACTCTCAAGAGATCTTTTACGTGCACGCCAATGTGTACACGGGACCTCTCTCTCTCTCTCTCTCTCTCTCTGTTGCAACTTTATTTTCGAATTCGTCAGACGAACACTGTTAAGATCGATTTGCGTTCAATGATTTATTTATTCCATTTGGAAATATCACTTATTTATTTCTGTTATAATTATAAATACAGGTTTGTTTATTAAAGATACATTATGGGAGATTCGATAACGAGTTGGTAGTTCTTATTATAATAGTTAAAAACTAGATAATGTAAAGACAATTTGCTGAAAATTTCAGTCAAATTGATCCACTATGAACCGAGAAAAAAGTGATCGAAAGTTCCGCATAGCCTCGGTCATCATTACTAAAGTCGATACGACAAAAATCATAGTCTCGATTATCCATTTAATCGTTAAATCGAGAAGGAAAGTTATGCAGCAAATCGGATCATAATCCAACAATTATCGCAGGCTAGCGTTGACATGAAGAGTTGATTATGGCCTTGATACGTTTATTAATGTCTAATTAATAATTTAGATAACATTTCAGGCCTAAAGATCTTGCATATTGATTTAGATCTTGCATAATGTATGTTTAACAGAAATTTGAGTTTATTGTCTTAATCTTACTAAGAATTAAATGTTTTCTATACTCTTCAAAAAAAAAAAAGTAGGGGATATTGAAATGCAAATACCTATGTAGGTTGTGATATGATAAATAGTCATGGACACTTGCCATGCTTTGAGAGTATGTTTACAGATGAAGAACTTATCGTCCAATCAGAACCACTGAGCTGCACATGCGCCATACTTTTTTTTGAAGAGTATATTTAGATAAAAGAAATATAAATTAAGGTTTACCGTTATCAAATTTCTTGTTGGTAGTTCTGAAAATATAAAAAAATCAACCATTTATAAAAAAAAATGTTCCTTAAACATACATGTACATTATGCAAGAGTGAAATCTACCTGTTGCAGGTCTTTCTTTAGGCCTGAAATGTTATCTAAATTATTAATTAGATATCAATTAACTTAACCAGACTGTAATCAACTCTCGGTGCCATAGCTAGGCTGCAAAATTTAGCCCATTGGAATACATTTTTTAAAAAAATAATTAAACGTAAAATTGGATAATGTATGCTAGCACAGAAAACATGTTATTAACAAGTAAGTGGTTTTGTTGTGACAAGTTGTATTTTGTGTTTATAAGCACACCCAGCCCAGTGCACAGTATTCGTTAGAAACCGGTGTTACTTGATAACACATACACTTAATCATATTTACCTGTCGTAATAAATAGAACTAATCATGTTTACCTATCGTAGTAAATACAACCAATCATATTTACCTATCGTAATAAATACAACCTCGTGGGTTTTCTCCGGGTCCTCCGGTTTCCTCCCACTGCTAAAGACCCCTACGCTCAAGCGAATTATGGAAATAAAATTGAACCATATGTTAGTCCCGAAATGACCTAGTTTGTGTCGAGTGGACGTTACCCCCCCCCCCTCTCTCTCTCTCTCTCTCTCTCTCTCTCTATCGTAATAAATACAACTAATTATACTTACCTATCGTAATTATGAGAAGGATTTGTCACTAAAATTAAAAGAAAAAATTTCAGATAAAACTAACTTATAACTTATCTTAAAGGAGCTAAAGCGATAATACTTGGGACCTAGAAATTAACACAAATGGGTCGCAACACATATAATAATCGTAATATGAATGTATATAAACTGATTTGCATTAAATCGTTTCTGTTTTACTGTAATTTCTAATCAGTTATGATCGGCGAAATACGCCAGAAGTCTCAATCGAATGACAATCTCTAGCGTCTGGTTAATCCAGTCTACACTGAAAGTATTTATTGCACATGCTCTCCAGATAAGAATATGACGTCACCGTCTGACATGACTTGTGGAATCTGTCTAGCCTCGTTCATCGAATCCCTTCATACAAATGGCGTGTGAAACGCATTATGGATATCAGAAGTCCATCTTTTCCTGGTAAGATCTCAGCATGAATGTTGATTTTAAATTGCAATGGAGCAATTTGAACGAAATTTTCAAGTTATTCATTTTACATTATCTATTTTCGAACTAATATAGTAAGAATGGTCAGCTCTTTATCTAAATCTTACATAATGTATCTTTAAATTCAGGTTATTAAGTAATGAACAGGAGAAATGTATTTAGTTCAGGAAGAAGGTTTGAAAATATATTGTAAATTTTGAAATCACATGTATTAAAATGTTCACCTGGTGGTCTTCTTAAACGTCTGATCACCATGACAACAGCGAACACAATAAGGGAGACAACTATACCAACAGCTACACCAATGCCTATCAATGCACCGACACTTAGCGGTAGGTCATCTGATTGCGTCACCCTGTCATCCGCGACCACAGTATTCATCACCCCGGCATCTGATCGCGTGGTTTCTTCATCTTCATTCTGACTGGAGATTTCAGGAAACACATTCAGCTTGAATGTAAAGATGATAGCAGCCGACCCAGCGCTAGTTATTCGTACCGTGTACTCCCCTTCATCGATTTGATGGACGTTTTTTATCTTTAGCGCGGGACCATCTATATCTTCAATTCTATAACCATTTAACTGTCGTTCAGTTTCGCTTATTTTCTTGTACCATGTATATGTTGGACGTGGATAACCCATTATCTTCAAATTCAATGTAGCATTAGAACCAATCGTAGCGTTAACCACTTTATTAGTTTCATTTTCTAATATTTGAACTTTACCTAAAATATGTAAATAACAAAATATATACATGAAATATATAAATAATTAGTTTCCTTTTCAAATATTCGAACTTTACCTAAAATTTGAAAATAATAAAATATATTATACATGAAATATATAATTAATTAGTTTCCTTTTCTAATATTCGAACTTTACCTAAAATTTGAAAATGATGAAATATAGGGCCTATACATGAAATATATAAATAACTTTTTTTCTTTTCTAATATTCGAACTTTGCCTAAAATATGTAAAAAAACCCAAAATAATGTCCTCTGTTTTTTTTTTATGTCTTTATTTTATGGATTAACTAGCAGGATACCCGGCTTCGCTCGGGGGTCATAACTCCGAAACCGGAAGCCAGGTATCCTATGTTACTCCCCGGTCCGAGCTACTCCTATACCCCAAATTTCAGACTCGGGGCAGACCTAGTGTAGCCGCCAACCCCGAACAGGCAGGCAGACAGACAGACAAACGACAGTCACAAATATTTGTATAGATAGATAGATAGATAGATAGATGTGTTGTGATTGTTGTAATTTTATATTAGTTGTACTTATGTAAAGCACCCGAGAACAGCTCGCTGAGATGGATTGTCGGCGCTACATAAATCAATTATTATTATTATTATAAATAATACGATAGTTCAATTTTGTTACACTAATAATGAGGAAAAATTGCAACCAATTATATTAATGTAAATTTAGATTAAATTCATTATTAGGGAAATATTTAAATGATGTTGATCTTTTTCCTGTTGGGTTAAACAGATTTTGAGGAAGTTATTTTCAATAATTTGTCAGTGAATCATGATATGATGATTAAAATCATACATTAACGTTAATATTTTAAAAACTGTCCACTCGTTCTTCGAAATCACAAGCGGGGGTGGATGGACGAACGGTTACCACGTGCGTGCTGTATCATACGACCTGTCATTGAGTCAACTGGCGTGGTTTCGAATCCCCGGTTGTACGTGACAAGGAGTAGGGTCGCCTGTCCAACCTCGTGGGTTTTCTCCGGGTCTTCCGGTTTCCTCCCACTGCTAAAGACCGCTATGCGCAAGCGAATTATTGGAATAAAAATAAAAGATATGTTAGTCCTGAAAAGACCTAGTTTGTGTCGAGTGGACGTTAAACCCCATTTCTCCCTCCCTCTCTCTCTCTCTCTCTCGAAATCGCAATACGGTTCATTGTAATTATATTTTTACTTGTACATTGCTTGCTTATTTCTAAAATGTAAATCCATTCCAGAGACAGCTATAACACAATCACTGTAATCATATTTTCACGTGTACACGTATGCGTCATTTTTAAAGAGTATAGTTTGAATTATAGTTTTAACCACCATTTGACTAATCTGATTAAAATACAGATCCTATTTCGTTTCGTTTTTTTTACACTTTCGATGGCCTACACTCACTCGGCAAACCTCAACAGATTCCAGTACCCTACATCTAATCTCGGCTGTATAACAAGGTCCGCCATTAGAACTACTTTCAAGTTCCCGGATTACAATGGCGTTGTCCATGACGACCAATGACGTCATTGATGACGACGTATTTGAAGAATGTTTTATCTTACAAAATTTTCAAAGTTTGAAGCTGTTTTTCTTTCAAGTTTATCCGATTTTCTTTAGACAAGGACAAATTTGCACTGAAAATTCTACACACTCTTCGAACGACGCAATTTTGAGAACTTCTTTCTAAACGCGGGCAAGTTTCCCTTATAAGTAAACCGGTGCCGCATCGCAAATGTATAGGCGTAGGTACATATCACTTACTGTCACACAGCCGAGGCTAGATGTAGGATACCGGAATCTGCCGAGGTTTGCCGAGTGGGCCTACACTAAGACAAGTAAAATGAAATTTTGAACTATAAAAAACGAAACGAAATAGGATCTGGGTTTTAATCAGATTGCCATTTTACTTATAACCAAAGAACTATAACAAAACAATAATAAAATAATTTAAAAACAATACCCAATATTTCTCTGAAATTTTTTTATACACATGGATCCCATTCAGCTTGAAGGAATGAGAGAGCTGCTAGTGTTAGCTTATCCGGACAGGGAGAGGAGATGGATATAGGCTATGCCAGTTGCCCAATCCCTATTCAGATACAAATCTGAATAAAAAATATTGTTTATAAAAACAAAATTAACATTGTGAGAGAATGGGGTAACGAATTTTCACAGTAACACGGGACTGGTTCACACAACAAGGAACCAATCGGACACTGTATTCTTCTAGGTGTTGATAATTTAAACATACATTATGCAAGAGCTAAATCTGCCTATTGCAGACCTTTCTTTAGGTCTGAAATGTTATATAAACTATTAATTAGACATTATAACTGTAAGATGTAGTATATATGTAGTATATGTGTAGTATAAGTGTAGTATATGTATAGTATATGTGTAGTATATGTGTAGCATATATGTAGTATATGTGTAGTATATGGGTAGTGTATATATGTAGTATATGTGTATAGTATATATGTAGTATATATGTGTAGTATATATGTAGTATATATGTGTAGTATATATGTGTAGTATATGTGTAGTATATATGTAGTATATGTGTAGTATATGTGTAGTATATATGTAGTGTATGTGTGTAGTATATATGTAGTATATGTGTAGAGTATATATGTAGTATATGTGTAGTATATATGTAGTATATGTGTAGTATATGTGTAGTATATATGTAGTATATGTGTAGTATATATGTAGTATATGTGTAGTGTATGTGTAGTATATATGTAGTATATGTGTAGTGTATGTGTAGTATATGTGTAGTATATGTGTAGTATATGTGTAGTATATGTGTAGTATATATGTAGTATATGTGTAGTATATGTGTAGTATATATGTAGTATATGTGTAGTGTATGTGTAGTATATGTGTAGTATATGTGTAGTATATGTGTAGTATATATGTAGTGTATTTGTAGTATATATATGTAGTATATGTATTATACTTACATCTCACGTTGACATTAAGTATTTGACTATCCATTGCACCATAATCATTGGACGTGTTACAGAAGAAGCTGTTCTCTTTACATTCAGCTGTTGTAATAACACTTAATGTCCTCGATGATGAGTTAGTGACGTAGCCGATAGTCTTCTCTCTATCATATTGATATCTGGATATTGATATATTCACGGGTAGTTTAGATGTAGAGGTTAGAGTACAGGTCAGTCTTATGCTGGTCCCTTCGTTGACAAATGTCGGTGGTGGTGGACTTATCACAAACGTATAGACCAAAGCTCTGTCTAAAATTTAAAAAAAAATCCTGTCAGAGAAGTAAACGTGTCCCGTGCACATTGCAGCTTAGATTCTTTGTCATGGGTAAAACTGACAGATGATGAAGGATGACTGCACCACAAAACACAGACCAGAACAAACAACAAGACCAATAGAACATAACAAATTATACAGTAGTGGCGTTCCTGGGCAGATACAACAAGAACTAGAACTGCGAAGCAGTAATGACGGGTTTCACCGGTGCCACGTTACCCTTGAACGTATGTCACTTCCGGTACCAATGAAACCGTTAAACAGGTTTCCACATAAGCATTGCACACATGAAATAAAATGGACGCAGAAACAACCAAATCCAGCAATCAATTCATTTGCTACATGTCAGTGATCCTGTCAAAATTACATTACTTCCGGTGATAATGAAAATGTTAAATTGGTTTATGAAATCAGAAATAGCATCATCACATGGTGAAAATTTTATGTAAATCCTATAATAATTGCCACCTTTATAGACCAAAAACCTTGAAAAATGACTTGTAGAAAATCGCCTATTTCTCTGCAACCGTACAAGTTAGAAACCATTTTGAGGTATCTGTATAATCGAATGAGTTCATTCTATTTGTTGATTGGAATCAAATATCATAATTTTAAAAACATTACAAATCTGATTCATTTGAATAAAATATCTGTTTTGAAGGCTAAAAATACAGTTTTTGCCAAAATGACGTTACTTACGGTGATAATGAAAATCTTAAATTACTTGTATGAAATCGTAAATGGCATTATGTATCACACAGTGAAAATTTCATGAAAATCGAATAATAATTGACACTTTTATTGACAAAAAACCTTAAAAAGTGACCTGTTGAAAATTGCCTATTTCTCCGCAACTGAACAAGTTAGAAACCATTTTGTGATATCTATATGATCGTAAGGGTTCATTGTATTAGTTGATTTGAATCAAATATCAAAATTTTAAACAAATAACAAATATGACTCATTTGAATAAATTACTGGTTTCGAAGGCTATAAATACAATTTTTGCCCAAATTACGTCATTTCCGGTGATATTGAAAATGTTAAATTGGTTTGACCTAGTTAAAATTGACATTACACATCAAATGGTGTCACTTTTATGAAAATCGAATAATAATTGACTCTTTTACAGGCAAACTAGCGTAAAAAGTGACTCATGCAAAATTGCCCATTTCTCGGCAACTGCGCATATTACAAATTAATTTTCACATACATTCTCTCCGTATAGATTATTGCTACGAGTTTATGAAAGTTACGAAGTAATATTTTAAAATATGAAAACGCTGGATGGGTTGTAAATAGCTTAAATTTACACCTTTTTTCACCTTTTAATCGAAATAGCCCGAAACGGAATCGAAATTAAAAAAATTGGTCCCAACATTTTGTGCGCCTTTAAAGGGCGCACAATTTCAGTTATACCAGATTTGAAAAAAATAATATTTGCTTTCGAAAAATGGTACCTAACTGTCAAAATTGTAGTTTTTTGTCAATTTACGCCACTTCCGGTGCCGACAGATAACACTATTGGTAACAAAAAAAATGACAATTGAGACAACGGAGCATATGAACTTTGTTTTATACAAATCGAACAATAAATAATTAATCTAGGACTGAAAAACTGAATTAGCCAATGGGGGCCAAGGAAAATTACCGAGACAAAAAATGTTCACATTTTTGCCCAAGTCAGAGGACTCGTT